TTGAATTGGCTGGGGGGTTAAGGAAGTGTCATAGGTTCAAGGTGGCTGACAACCATCATACCATGTAACATGACTTTCATTTTGCAAAAAGAGGGGTCTACCAAGACTCAGTTATCCTTTTTGGCAATTTAACATGTTGAGCTGCTTTTCAATGCTGAGAGTCAATTGTAACAACTTTTGCCTCTTACAAAATTCAAACTCACCGGTCAAAAATTTCCAATCCTGCGTATAAGCTTTTTACTCTTTACGGCCCCAGTGGTTTGCTTTCAACAGTTCAACCAGTATTGGAATGTAGCTAATGAATGTGGCGACGTGTTCATGTAATTAGATAGGTCCTATGATTAAAATTGGTGGAATAATAAACAAAAATTTAAGTAGTCGAAATTGGAAAAAATGGAAGGTCGAATGGGTAGCAAGAGTGACAATCTAGATATAGAGGTCTTCCATAAAGAGCCCATTTAACCAATTTCCCTATAATATTGCTTGTTCTATTTGATTCCAGAGACCATTGAAAGTTCCCCTTGTAATTTCTTGTCGTATTTACCCGGTATGGTTCATGATTACAGTAATTATAATTTTAATGGTTGCATCTTCCTCCATTTAGTCCATTACAAATATCTCAAAGGAAATTTCTTCCACTTGCTTGGACTCCTAACATTCCGCAACCAATCCGGATCTCATTATTCACAATTCATTTTTTTAGAATTGATTTGAACATCAGATATTTGATTGAACAAGGTATTTTGTTTCTGTCGTCTGCTTAGGGTTCGAGTACGTCACCTGATTTATAATTAATTTTCTAAGTCATAAGGATCTATAGTATTTGAGCCAATACTTACATTGCATCTTGGTATAATGTACCCTTATGATTGACTAAAAGATTATAGATCCGTATGACATAAGAAATTAATTAAATCATCTGACGTTCTCGGGGGCTAACCCTAAAAATACAAACAGTTTTTGTCACTAGTGTTGCATTATCCATTCGACTGATCTCATATGGATTTCCATGGCTTTCTTGTTCAAATCTTTTGTTTGATTTCATCGAATTCTTTTGAGGAATATTTTTCATTAATGAATAGTAAAGATAGACTTTTTGTTAAAACTTCGTGCACAATAGTAGTTTTTATCCATTGCACGTTTAATGTGGAATATTTATAGGTTTGGTAGTTAGTCTTAAATAAATCTATGACGCTTTTCCCTCTCTTTGGATACTTTGTATATAGAACATGCTGTACCTTGTATTCAAAAGATTCTAAAAGAAAAGAAGTTTCATTTTATTTCAAAATTCGATGAATGAAAACAGTACTGAAAATTTTGCGAATTGATTCTCCACCCTTTGGTTTTCACACGTCTTGTTTTGATCCAGTAGTAACGGAAAAACCAAATTGGGAAACTTCGGAAAAATAGATCTCCCACTTTTTTGACAGATTGTTGTTGTTGAAACTTTCCAAGTCACCGGATTAAAAGGATGGGGATATATTTCTCTATCCCACTTTTTCTTCTCAAGATAAGGAAACTTAACTAGCATATTATTCATAAATTATGACTCACGAAATTTTCAACTATACCTTAGATCAACTCGTTGAATTAGAAAAAGGTACCACATTCACCGAATTCAGTCCAGAAATTGCTTGGAAATTAGGATCTTTCGCTCGTGAATATGCCCTAGAAAAATTCCCTCACAGAGCAGTTGTAATTGATATCACCTTAAGTACTGGTCATTGCTTATTCCGTACTGCAACTCTCCCAGGTACTTCTGTTGATAATGATAATTGGGTTCAAAGAAAAGTTAAGTCAGTTTTCAGATTTGGAAAATCAAGTTTCTTTATGGGACAAGATTTAAGACTTAGGGGGGAAACTTTGGAAAGTTTTTTCTTTGTTTCTCCTAAAGAATTCTCGGTTCATGGTGGTAGTATTCCGATTAGAGTTAATGCTCATGATGCTGTTATTGGTGCTTTGACTATTAGTGGATTAACTGAAGAAGAAGATTATTTATTGGCTGTTGAAATCGTTAAGAAATTCTTGGCGTAAGATTGTCTGTATATTATTTTTATAGATTTTATTAATAGACATTATAAGTCAGTTATAGAAAGGTTTCTTATGTAACTTTGAATGGGGACTTGTCTCTAAAATGGAAAATATCCTTTTTGTCAATTGACAACTTAATTGTACCTCTTCACCAAAGAAAATGGGAGGATAGGGTACAGGATACTTTGATAGTGATTATGCACATGAAACATTAGACTACTACATTAAACATCCCAATCTGTTAAGTATCTTATTTGAGGAATTACAAACTGGGATCCAAAGACCAGAAGTTGACACATATGCAGATGACTACGTCGTCCTTTCAATTCTAATCATCTTATTAGATTCTCAAGATTGGATAAACATCACAAACAAATCTACATCCAATAAGAATTTGATTATGGAACATGTGAACAAACATCAGCGAACGAGAATGGGAAAAAATTGTATAAGAATAAGAGATATATTACCGGGTTATCGATTCAAGAAATTGCCATTCGGTGTTTAGCAATGGCGATGAATCCCGAGATATCTGAGAATGCTGCCCTTTGGGAAGAGACTGAAAAGTTTGATGAATGGAAGGGAGCCATTCATGAATTGATTGTTAAATTGAAGGAAATTGGAAATACGTGATATTCGTTGACGGGAAAATGAGGGTCGTTTCATTTGTAGATAGAAATGTTCCAACTAAAAGAATAAACTTACAATTTCAGTACAATAAAATCAGCAATATTAATCACTTTCTTTTAAAGGCTTCATGTGAACTCCCAAGAGTTATCATCTCTTTTATTTAATTTACAATCTCGAGATAATTTTTCCATACTTACAACTGGACCTCAATCCAATTCTGGTCGTTGTACCCTATTACCATCTCCTTGTTTTAACTCTCTCAACAAAGTTTGTTAACAAATAGTCTATATCTGGATTGGAATGGGAATAAATAACCATGTAGAGACTGTTAATGAACTCCTTCTATTCACATATATAACGAGTTTCTTCTCAATATAGATGGAGTCCCAAGAGAACTGAAGTTTAATAACCGCAGTGGATGTCAGCAAGATTGAGCAGTAATGGCACCTAACAGCTAAACTTAACAAGGATATCACAATATCACTATTTTCTTATCTCCTCTCTCCAGGTTTTCAATTCTTATATTATAAAGATTTGCATTATTTAGAAAATGTGGATATTTGTTTATCCTATTTACGAATCCACAAATATCACAAGAGTCTATCTAGTTTTCATACAAAATTTTCTAGAATTAATATTCGTATTTCATATTTTTTTTAGTAAAATTCCTGTAGCAAAAGAATCTTTCATATGTCAAAAATCAAAAAACTTCTATTTAAGATTAATCTCCTGTTTCTCAGATATATAATGAGATTATTAGAAGAATCTCTTAATTAAATACTATTATTCGTATTTCTAGAAAAGTCATAAAATGATGATATTTTTGGTTGGAATTAAGGTTGCAAAATATTTTTTTTATTAGTTTAGCCGAATCAGCTCAAAGCCTCTAACAACACAAAAAAATCAAATGCTTCCACTTACAAAGGGCCCCCCAGAAAATCCTCCAATCATTCCGAGGGAGGACCGTTGAAATTTAAACAAAACCTTTTTCTATATTAAATCCTCCTACACACACCCAACTACATAACCAACAAACAACAATAATAATGGGAGCCTGGGGAACCGGATATTTCGAAAACGACGCCACTCTCGACGCCCTCCCTTATATCCTAAAATCCTCACAACCTTTTAATCTCGCAATTCCACCAATTCTTCAAGATTCATTCAAGTCAACATATTTAGAAATCGATGAAAGTGGGACAATAATCATCATAGCTATCATACTTATCGCCTTCAATTCGAAAGAGTGGATAATTGACAATGAGGGGATTCGGGAGATGTATAAGAAGGAGATCTTGCTGTTTGTCGTGGATCGTGAGTCGGAATGGAGGGATGAATGGAATGATATGAAGATTGAAGGGGACGGGAGAGGGATGGTGGAGATGGCATGTGATTGCTTGGATGTGGTTTTGAATGAGAAGAAGAGTGAGAGTAGTGAGCTTTGGAAAGAATCACTGGAGGAATTGTTTGAGGAATGGAAGAAGACGATTGTGGATTTGAAGCAAGAGTTGGAAAAATATAGATGAAAAAAGAAATACTTAGGAGGCGCAATGCTGAAGAAAGATGATTGAGAATGTTCTTTGGTAGTCACATTATTTGAAGGTATATCTGACCAGGGAAGGTGTCATATTACATAAAGAAGCAGCGAGAGGTGGGTATTTTTATATGACGAGATTTAAAATATTGAAATTAGTATTCATGATCTGATCCGGAAAACTTTATCTAAAGTATGTATATAACGGTATTGAATCGTGCCACTTCTACATCATCATGTATTGTATATTTTCTTTTCATAAGATTTTAATGTATGACTTTTTTATATTCTGCATGAACTGACATGGCAAGGAATATTCTATTGTGAGATCAAAAGAATGAATTATAAATAAATGAGATCCATTCTTGTAAGCGCAACGCACTTGTTGATCTGCGTAAGTTCTTATTCTTCTTCTCTACAGTATATTACAAACAAATTCACAATGCCTGCTTGGGGTACTGGATATTTCGACAACGACGAAGCCAACCTCTGTTTAACCAATCTAACCACCTATCAACCCACCAAAGATGAAATTGGCCACATTATAACCATCCTATCCGAAAACCTTACCAAACCTTATCTCGAAGTCCATTCTTGTTCGGATACAATGATTATCAGTATTTTGATCATCTCCCTACATACCCAAGATTGGATCCATCTTCATCCTGATATTCGTAACAATGAAAAATTGGCAATCTTGAAATTCATACGGCGAAATCAAACAATTTGGGAAAGAAAATATCATCAATCAATGGGGTTGGAAGTTTTGGAATTGGTGATGAAATGTTTAGACGTTGTTTTGGATAGAAAGAGAAGTGAATGTAGTGAATTATGGTATGAGACTACTAGATATGGAGAATGGAAGAATACTATTGGTGATTTGAAGATAGAATTGCAAATTATTAAACAACAACAATACCTTGTTCCTCTTTAATAGGCGTATACATCATCATTCTATAGGGATTTAGAAATAAAGGAGTAGAAATACAGTAGAATAGTTAGATAGCCTATTACAGTGTATACTTAATGAGTATGTTAGTGATGATAATTACACTAAGGTCATAATAAATCTCATACTGGTTCTCTGATTTTTCTATTTGTCAAAGAAAATTTTATTTCTCTCTAAATTTTTCAAAAATCTCAATCCATCGATATCCTACCCAATCTCCAAAGCTAACCAACCAAACCCTAAGCAATGCTATTATCAAGGGGATTAATAAGTAGGTCATTACCTACCACCACCACTGTGGGTCTCACTTTCCCCAAACAATCCACCTTATTCAATTTTTCCCAAATTCGTACCAAAAAGAAAAGAGCCGCCGGTTCAAGAACCAACAACAAGAACTCCCCGGGGAAGAGATTGGGTCCAAAAGTCGGTGACGGGCAATTCGTCGAACAAGGTACCATTATCATGAGACAAAGAGGGACCAAACTCCACCCTGGGGATAATACTGGACTTGGACATGATCATACAATATTTGCCTTAGAGCCGGGATATGTCCGATTTTATTATGATCCTTTCCATCCATTGAGAAAATATGTTGGTGTTGCTTTGAAGAAGGATTATATGTTGCCAAAGGAGCATTTTGCGCCAAGGTTGAGGAGATTTGGATATGTGGAGTTGATGGATGAGGGGGAGAAGATGAAAGAAGAGGCTAGTATGAGTAGAAAGGAATTTTTGGCCCAACCGGAATTGAAAAGACAAGCGGAAGAGTTTGAAGCGTATAAGAATAAGAGATTGGAAGAGTATAAGAAGAGTATAAGTGAAGAATTTACTGGATTGGGGTTGACTGAACAAGAAGTTGAAAATGCGGCTAATAGAGTATTTGATATTGTTCAACTTAGGAAAACTGGCCAAAGTATGAGTGAAGCAAGAGAACAAGTTACCCTTAATTTTATTTATGAATTAAGATTGGCTTTAAGAAGGGGAGAATTCACCAAGGAAGAAGTTAATACTGGTAAGAAAATCTATAGTGAATTTGCTCAAAAAATTGATGAAGTTATTACAGTCAATATGAACAATGAACAAATTATCAAACAATTATCATCAGAAGAATTAGAAACCAAGAGGAAAGAAGTTAAGCAACAATTAGATTCTTATTTGACTGAAAAGACTTTGACTGATAAATATAGACAAGAAGTTGAAGAATTAATTGTTACTCCTGGTATTTTCTCTTTAACTGAACAAGAACAACTCAGAGAAGAATACTTACCAGTAGTGTTACCATTGACTGTTCCTGGATCTGTTGTTGAAGAATTTGATACTCAAAACCCACCAAAGGGACATGTAGTACAAACTATATTTAATGAAGAAACTAGATCCTTTAAGACTATTGCAAGACCTAAAGTAGCTGTGTCTGCTTAGAAATACTTTTGTATATAATGAAATACATACTGTAAATAAATAAATAATACTCCCATTAGTTAATAATACCTTGCTCTCTAATAGAAACTTCAGGAACTTCTCATCCTTTGGTGAAGTCCTGCCCTGCCCTGCGTTGAGCCTATAACAAAAAATAAAACACGTACATAAGAAAGAAAGAAAAAACAACGAAACAAAAAAAAACGGCGTTGAAAAATTAAACAGAAATAAAATTTACACCTTTTGATTTATATCTTAAGGACTGGGTTATAACCAAAGTATATAATATCAAGAGAGATAGTCAGAATGGCCATTGAATTACCATTTGAGATCCCAAAGAATAATCCAGTATATGAAACATATAGTAAAGTATGTGTTACATATCAAGAATATATTGATCGTATAGTCCCACATACAATTGAAAGATGGATTGGATTTGGTGTATTATTATGTGTATTTTTAATTAGAATCTTCATTGGACAAGGATGGTATATAATCTGTTACGCTTTGGGCATATATCTATTAAATTTATTCTTAGCATTCTTGACACCAAAATTTGATCCTTCATTAGAACAGGAAATGAAAAATGAATCAATTGAAGAAGGAATACAAGATGATGAAGGTGAGGGGGGTTCTGGAAAGGATGGGGATGAGTTTAGACCTTTTATTAGAAGATTGCCTGAGTTTAAGTTTTGGTATAATGCTACAAGAGCTACCTTTTTAGGGTTGGTATTATCAATATTTGAAATCACCGATATTCCAGTATTTTGGCCAATACTTTTAATGTATTTTATTATTTTGTTTACTTTAACTATGAGAAAACAAATTCAACATATGATTAAATATAAATACTTACCATTTGATTTGGGAAAGACAAGATATAGAAGAACTGCTGTTTAATCTACCACCTGCCATACCATCCCATAAGCCCCGGGCTTATTTACTTTACTTACTCTTACTTACTTACTCTTGATTAAGAAGAGTAAGAAGTAAAAGGTATTTCTACTAGGTGAAGAAGAGTATAATTATGTATATTTGAAAACCAATTTGTATAACATTTTTTAGATAGTCTTTTTTAAGAAAACATTTAGTTCAATTAATTAATTTGATAATAGATATAAATGGGTAAATGTTTAATAAGATAGCAACGTACTGACGCGACTGATATCACGTGATATGTGACTTCCAAAGGTTTGTTCGGCTCAATTTGGACGATTTTTCAAAATCTCATTTTTTTACCACCACTGCCTCCTCCCCGTCCCTCTCGGCAATTTACTTCAACTTACGCAATCAAACCAAATCACAATCAATTGATAAAGGAGAGACAACCCAACAACAATGAGTCGTGCCGAAGTTGATTTACAAACAAGTGTTAAGAAGGCTTGTAACATTGATGAAGTGCCACCCAAAAGAAAACATGTTAGAGCTTGTATCGTTTATACTTGGGATCATAAGAATTCAAGAGCATTTTGGAATGCAGTTAAGATCCAACCATTACAAAGCAATGAGATTCAATTGTTTAAAGCATTGATTATGATTCATAAAGTATTACAAGAAGGTCATCCAAATACTTTAAAAGATGGTTTCAGAAATCGTGATTTCATTAATTCTTTGGCAACGGTGTTCCCAACTCATGGTACTGCTTATGGTAGATTGATTAATCAATATGATCAATATTTGTTACAGAAATTGGATTTTCATCGTAATAATCCTGGGTTTAATGGAATGTTTGAATATGAAGAATATATTTCTCTTCGAGCTGTTAATGATCCCAATGAAGGTTATGAAGCTATTTTACAATTAATGGATTTACAAGATCTGATTAATCATTTACAAAAATTATTATTTGCTACAATTAATCAAACTCATAATAATTTATGTAAAGTGAGTGCTTTAGTTCCATTGATTCTGGAATCTTATGGAATTTATAAATTTTGTACATCAATGCTTAGAGCAATGTATCAACAATTAGGCGCTGATGATGCTTTAACTGGTTTAACTGAAAGGTTTGAATCTCAGCACTTTATGCTTAGAGATTTTTATACTGATTGTCATGCTATTAAATTCTTAACTAGTTTAATTACCGTACCAAGATTACCAAATAGTGCCCCTAATTTGCAAATTAGTGATGATGGTGTCCCCATTTCAAGACCCCAATCAGTTGCAAGTAGTCAAGTTCAATCTCAACCAACTTCTTCAAATACCAATTTAGAAACTCCTCCAAATCCTCCACCAATAACTGATCAACAAACTAATTATTTGTATCAACAACAACAAGAACAAGCTAGAATTCAACAACAATATGAATTACAACGTCAGCAACAACTCCAACAACAACAAGAACAACAATTACTTTTTGAACAACAACAACGTGATCAAGAGAGAAGATTTTTGGAAGAACAACAAGCTTTACAAATGCAACAAACTCAGCAACAACAAAGTCGAGTTTCGGAATTAGAACATGATTTATTAATGTTTAAGAACCAATATGATAATGATCAACAATTGTTACAACAATATGATTCAAGAGTTAAGACCTTAGAGAATGATATGATGGCATTTAATAATACTGCCACTCAACAAATTGCTTCCAAGGATGAGCAAATCAAAAACTTGGAAGATCAAATCAATAATTGGACTAAGAAATATGAATCCTTAGCCAAATTATATTCTCAATTACGTCAAGAACATTTAAATCTTTTAGCTAAATTCAAAAAAATCCAACAAAAAATCAATAGTGCCCAAGAATCAATTATGAAGAAAGAAAAATTCGAAAAAGAACTCAAGGCCAAGAATGTTGAATTGGCCGATTTGATTAGAGAAAGAGATCGAGCAAGATTAGATCTTGATAGAATGAAAGCTGGTAAAGATCAAGAAATTGAGAAATTACAAGCAGAAATCCGGGAATTGGATTTAAATTCTAAAGAGGTTGGAAAATTACAAAATTTGAACATTTCTTCAATCATGGGGAAACATGAACAAGAATTAGCTGATTTGAAGAAACAATTAGCGGATCGTGAAATGAAATTGGCTACGATTGGAGATGTGTCTCATTTACAAGAACTTATTAAGGAGAAAGATATTGAATTAGAAGTTGCGAATGAGGAATTAAACCATGCATTGGCAACTTTGGCCAGATCTCAATCTGATCAAGATGATATTGTGAATGCACAAATTGATCATATTATTCTTATGAATATGAATAGATTCAAGAATTTGATTGATGTATTTTTGGATAATAGTATCAAAAGAATTTTGGATACAAAACATGAATTGCAATCTCCAATGCAAGCTGGGAATATGAATTCTACTCCAGAATATTTATTATCGATTGTCGAACTTTCAACTGATTCCACTATTGATTTCGCCACTATTTTTAATAATTATATCGCTGAGGGAAAGAATATCGATAATGATTCAAATTATTCCGATATCATCTTAACCAGTTCTTCATTAACCACCTCAATGAATGATTTGATGTTGAATTCCAAGGGGCTCGTTAATAGTATTCCAGGAGATCAAGAAGAAACATTATTAAACCACGTATCCGTCGTCTTAGACGTCACTGTTGAATTCTTCACCGGCATCAAATCCGACCAATTAGATTCCCTCGAAGATATTGAAGACAAGATTGGAAAAGTCTTGGATGGAATGACAGACGTTCAACAAGCATTACAACAATTATCCCAATTCACCGAAACATTACGTCCTACCTCCAATATCAAATTCAGCGGAAATGTAGAAGATATGGTCAATCATGAAATGGATCAAACTGCCGCCACTGTCCAACAAGCACAAAAATTCTTGGATAATTTATTAGCAAATCCAAATATTTCCACTGGGGCCAATTTAGAAATCCATGAAATGTTACTTTCAGCGGCCAAATTGATTATTGATTCCGTGGTGAAATTAATTGCCGCCAGTGTTGAATCTCAACATGAAATTGTGAGTCGTAACAAGGGTGTCGATCAAACCCCAACCGAATTCTACAAAAAGAACAATAGATGGACCGAGGGTTTAATTAGTGCTTCGAAAGCTGTGGCTGGTGCTACTAATATCATCATCCAGACTGCGGATGGGGTATTGAAGGGTTCGAATTCACATGAACAGTTGATTGTGGCCTCGAATGAGGTGGCGGCCAGCACGGCCCAATTAGTGGCTGCGTCGAGAGTGAAGGCTAATTATGTCTCTAAGGCACAAGATAATTTGGAAAGTGCAAGTGGTGGAGTGACTAGGGCATGTAAGGCGTTAGTTAATAAGGTTCAGGAATTATTGAATAAGGAGTCTGGTGCTGGTGGGGAAGAAGGTATTGATTTGAGTAAGTTGACGCCATACGAAGGTAAGACGTTGGAAATGGAGCAACAAGTTGAGATTTTGAAGTTGGAGAATAAATTGAATGCTGCCAGGAAGAGATTGGGAGAGATTAGAAAGCATGGATATAGAGATGATGCTGATAGTGAAGATGAGTCGTAAGGATGTTTATTTCCTTATTTTTTATATGATGTTTTTTTGTAGTTATCTTTTTTAAATAAAGCAGTTATTAGTTTGTTTTATTGCATAATTATATACGATTGTTTTTGTAAGTAGGTAAGTTAAAATATATTAGACAACCATGCTAATGTAGAAATAACCACATCAGATCTAAGCAGTGGCTCACCTCTTTCAGCAGTCCCACCGCCACCACTTCCACCCCCAGCAGCATCCAATACCGCTGGAGTCAGCAATGCACCCAAACAATCCAATAACAAATTCAAAGACTCGAAATTCTCCTGAAGTAACATTTTCTCATCCAGAACATCAACCTCGTCTTGTCGTTCTGTCCGATCGACTAGTATTGGAATGATTATCGTTTCGCGAAATGCAAATAATAAAATACTCTCAACGTCAATGGAGGGAATACTATTATCATTTCCCCCTGCTGATATATTGATTGATGAAGATGTAATTGTTGTCGCGGCTGATAATTCGTTAAAGCTAGTCTGGAATCGATGAAAGACGATCAAGATATAAAACCGGATTTTTTCATTAAAATACACCCAACATTTCGAAGCCACCATCCAAGGTCGTATCAATTCCGAACAATTACTATAGGAATCCTCAAAGGTTTTAAAATAGTCCATTTTGAAAATATTCATGCATTTAAGGAAAAACATCAAGAGATCTTGGGAGATTTCGCGGGCTTTGAAATAGGTGAATTCGTCGTCTGAGAATGAAGTCGTGCTTGATGATGCACTTGCTGGGATTGGTTTATTCCTGGATTTGAGTGGGTTTGGAGTAGTGCCGGAAATGGTGGAATTGATGGTATTGGTGCCGGAAATTGAGCTGCCGCCGCCGATAAGTGGGAGATCTTGTTTGTTGAAAAAATTCAATCGTATGAAATCTCCAATATCTTCAAGTGAGTGACCAAGGAACGGATGTAGTTTATGCTTTTTATTCATGCTTGGAGTAAATAATGGACGTAATAATGTTAATAATTGATTATAAAATTGGGAATTCTGTTGTCGGAAATTTTCAATTGTATTATCATCAGAATGACCACTATGGGTGTGATATCGTTGTAGACGGGTTTGTATAAACAGATCAGTGGGTATCAGTAATTTTCGATGTATTTCAGCTAAGGAAGAACTTGCATGGTCCATATTTCCTCCACCACTGGCAGTCACACTTGTAGCTGATTCATCTAATTGGTAATTTGGATCGGTGAATTTATATACAGAAGCGAATTCAACATTGGTTATATATGAATTTGAATTGTTTGAGGATAGACATAATGCTGTTCTGGCGGTGCTTTTTGTCAGGGTTGTCGATTGTGGAGGTACTAGTGTTGATGGTGATTCTTCTAGAGTCTTACCTAATGAAGTATCAGTACTTGATCTATGAAATATACTATGAAAAGCCGTTACTGGAGATGAAAGTGAATTCTTCCTATTGGTACTTGCTTGATTCTCCAGAATGATAGGTCCAGTACTTACAATCTTTTTAGTTTGGATTGTTAAATCAGGTTTACTACTTCCAGTTCCACTTTTGCTAAATCTTAATTTTGGTCTAGGTAGCCTAAATTTCTTACTTCTTGTGCTTGTTGAAGCATTACTTGCTTTAGAATCTTGAGTAAATATTGTCAGTAAACTATCTCCATGTTCATAAAACAGGATACTATCCAAATCACTGATGCTTGTAGAAGTAGCACCACCACTAGCAATTGCAGCGGCAGCGGCAGCAGTAGCGGCATCTTTTCGGGATAGTACAGTATGAGCTTGTTGAGGTACTGATAAACTTGTTTGAGATTTGTTTGTCCTGGTGAATAATTTAGTCAATGGATTTGATGATTTGATTGTCGATGTTGAATTACTTATAATTGAACTTGAAGTTGAAGAAGAACTACTCCATTTACGTAAATTATTAAACCCAACTCTGGAAATATTTAATCGAGAAGAACTTGACTCATTGGATTGTTGATAGAAAGGAGTTTGACCTTTATCATTATTATTCATATTGATCTAAGTTCTATCCATATTGCTACAAATATAACAAACAGATTTATGATTCGGTTAGAAAAAAAATTAAGCCGAAAATAAAAATTCGTTTGGAAATTTTCCTACTCCACATTGTTTTCGTCGACGCATCCAATCCACCAATCATCCAATCCTCTATCATCAAGAATTGTTCCCCAAATTTAATGAACATGATGACAGGAGTACGACGAATGATGGATAAGCGTAAGTAAACATTTAATAGAAAGACATAAAGATGCTAATTGATGGCAATGTAGATACTCACTTTGTTTTAGCTAATTACAAATTTGAGGAACACATCCCAACAGTACATTATTTTGTAAGAATTATTTAACAGGAAGTGGATAATAAGTGTAGATAACATAGGAATTGTATGCATGATTGAAATTCCATGCGGTATACCTCTTTACTGATAGTTCATACTTAGGGATGTACAAGCAGTGTTTATGTATAGAGATTGCCTCTACTTCTCAATGAGCTAGTGGTGAACATGTATACTTCATGGCAAGAATCATGCTTACAGTTAATCCCATCTGAGTCCTAACATTCATTCGATTCGCTTTGATATACGCTTCATATCAACTCATTGTGTGACAACCAATCACAATTGCTAAGTTGCCAGTTGGATCCAACGTCAACAACGCATTACCACATCCAGCAGACAGAAGTGACGTGTAATATAAGCAAACGCGCTCACAGCTATGTCGATCTCATAAAATTTAGATTTCATCGACACATATTCCCAATAGAATTCGACCAATCGGTTACTTGTCAGAATAGTGTAATGTCATGTCATACAAACTACATTGTACTGAAAAAAGGATTCCCTTATTTGACCAAAATGGAACTGTTGCGGCTGCCATTTAGGGTATTGCACCTTTTTGCATGGGATTCTTTTACCAAAACTTTACGCAAAATTACCCATTAAACAAAACTTTACTATAATATATACTCCTATTGCCTTTCGTAATAGATAATATACATATGACTGCGACTAAATATCTATATTACTATTATTAAGTACAACAGAGCTAGAAAGTCAAAATGGGATGTACTGAAAACTTGCTGTGTTTTCATGTGTATGCAAAATGGTGTTAGCCCTTATTTTTATCTCAATGGGACGCTCCATCCTCCTCCCAGATTTACTCAAAAAACTATGAAAAGTCAATGTACAGTTATACTCTTATCTTAAAGCTCAATTTGTAAAATGATTCATTGAAGGCTAAAATATCAAGTATTTCTATTGGGCCATCTATGTATACACATATTTATCACTTTAGCTAATCAATGAACAAGGAACGTATAGAATCCAAACAGAATGTTAAGTCCCTTCTCAGTATTCCGGATGATGTGTGTCTCCGGATATTTCGATATTTATCACCATTTGAACTCGCTCAGATTCAATTGTTAAATAAACGATTGAATAATCTAAGTAATCAAGCGTTATGGCATTCCATATACGTTTATCATAGAGGTAATGATTTCCATACTGGGATGTATTGGTTTAATTATACATGGATGCACTTGGATGCATTCTTACATTTTTCGAGATCTAGAAAACTCAAGAAACAATTTATGAAAAGATTAATATTCTGCAACGATAGTTTTATGGCTGTAGGATGGATAGAGTGGTTAGAGAAGGAACTTCGTGGATGTGATATAACCTTTTCGGAGGTCGCTAATCTAGAATCGATATTGAGGATGAGATCACGAAATTGCGATAAGCTTGGGCTTCTCTACATTCCGACTAGTCTGAATTTTTCAACTGATAATATCCATTTAATCCGAAGTCTAAGGATAAAATCAGCATCTCAAGAATTTTGCGAAACTTGGTTACCACAATTCACCCTGTTGAAGTCCCTTCATCTTGAAGAGCCTATCTATTTTAGATTGAAAAAGAAACTCCGCTTGACTAGTCTCTTTCTAGGAAATCCAGAGGATAATGATGATATAACACTGATTATAACTAGCGTTCTCGGAAACGTGGCTTTGCTGGAATTACGATCGCTACGGCTTCCGAAGATTGATTATTGGAACGAGATAAGTCAAGAACTTTTTTCCATTGAGGAAATCCAACTTGACAATGAAATCGCTCATTTGCCATACTACTCTTTAAGAGAGGTTCATTACTTGAATGATGATAGCGTGAACATAGACATGGATTTCTTAGTCCACCATCCAATTACCTATTTGTCAGTTAATCCTGGTTATAACTATTCTTGCCAGCGATTTAATGCCATAACCACTTTAAAAAAGGTGAAGCTAAATCAGAATGAATTTATTGTTGTTCGATCATCCAGAAAAGTTTCTTATCGTCCCGTCAGTGTTAATTACCCACAAATTTTCAGCTAATTGAGGGCCAGTTGGATTTTGATCTTACAGCCATGACTAGATAGTCAGATTGAAATAACTGAAATCGATTTGCTGGAGATTGTGGTCTGACTGTTTACAACTGGTTGCTCCCGAACTTGACTTGGTGTAAGTAAACTTAATAAAATATCAAATAGGAATGGGGAGCACAATTCGATCTGGATATGTAGCAGCGCTGTAATCCTTTTAGTATAAACCTCCCTCTTACATCATAACTCTGAATACGATAAGCTTCAACTTACAGCCACTTATGTTCACGCAACTTCTTACTAGAATTGTTCATAAATTTTTCATCGTTGAGGTTTTAGGTCTATATGTCGATTCTATCTTGTTTACATGATCTTTAATTGGATATGAACATCATCCTAGGGCTTGCCATGCTAACAACTTGGAGGTTATATGCTGGCGTTAGAAGTTGCAGTTTCTTTGTCGCGTCAGAGACATCTGTCGTAAACTTCACACATTATTTTTTCCATAGCCCGAGAGAAGACCATTTCCTAATTGGGAACAAATATAAACAATCACAATTTCAAAAGAAAGAGAATGACAAGACATAGAACACACACATTACACAAGCTTCAGTTGACCCGAGTTGTTTAAATCCCCATGGTGAAGCAATTTTGACAGAATTTTTTTATTAAAACTTTTCTTCTTCTTACCACAACCCAAATAAACACCAATCAATTATATGAATCCATTTAATTCTCAAGGGGATGACAATCCATTCATGGATTCAGCGCCATCATATCCAAATGCCGCTTTCACCAGTGATCGAACCTCACCAAGAAGATATCAACCCTTAGATGACGACTCAGATGATAATACCACCGTCGGTAGCACCGGTCATTTCAATGCATTCCCATCCTCAACCCAACAACAACAACTGTCACCATATTCGAGACAATCACCAAACATCTTCACCAAAAGTACCGCAAAAGCCTATTCCAATCATCAATTCTTAAATCGGACCCCAAGTCTAAAACCAAGGGATGGAAGTAGTCTTACACCCCGGGCGGAATATACATCCCAAGAATCACCAAAACGTCACAGACGAACCGAGATAGTCATCAGTGAAGACGAGGACGAAGATGATACCGAAGAGATTGACTTGAGGAGTACTTTAAACGGATCCCCACGTAGATCATTCAGAGGCAGTGCAATTAGCAGTGAACGATTCTTGGATCCACCAAAACCAATCTTCTCCCCTCAGACATTTGCCGAAGCCAATCCAACTACTGTTTCATTACTTGATCAAGAAACTAGGGCAACCAAGGAATATGAAACTCAATCGGCTTATTCTGACGCTTCCACTGCATATTCGGGAAGTTCATACATTTCTCAACATGAAGCCGAAAAAGCGGGATTTGATGAAAGTGAATATTTCGCTACTTCATTAGATGGTAATATTATGCAAAATATTGATAATGGATATCGACCAAATCAAAAGAAGAAAAAATTGACAAAACGAAAAGTTAGACTTGTTGCTAGTGGAGGTAGTGGGAATTTAGTTCTTGAGAATCCAATCCCCACAGAATTGAAAAACGTCTTAACGAGGACTGAATCCCCCTTTGGTGAATTTACAAATATGACATATACTGCATGTACTTCCGATCCTGATAATTTTATTGAGAATGGGTTTACGTTACGTACGGCTAAATATGGCCGTGAGACTGAGATTGTCATTTGTATTACGATGTATAATGAGGATGAATATTCATTTGCAAGAACCATGCATGGTGTGATGAAAAATGTGGCACATCTATGTTCGAGACAGAAATCAAAAGTATGGGGAAAAGATAGTTGGAAAAAGATTCAAGTGGTGATTATTGCTGATGGGAGGAATAAAGTGAATGAATCAGTTTTGGAATTATTGACTGCTAGTGGATGTTATCAAGATAATTTGGCAAGACCTTATGTTAATAATCAAAAGGTCAATGCTCATTTATTTGAATATACTACTCAGATTTCGATTGATGAGAATTTGAAATTTAAGGGGGATGAAAAGAATTTGGCTCCAGTGCAGGTGTTGTTTTGTCTTAAAGAAAAGAATCAAAAGAAGATTAATTCCCATAGATGGTTGTTTAATGCGTTCTGTCCCGTGCTTGATCCTAATGTGATTATTCTTCTTGATGTGGGTACCAAACCTGATAATCATGCAATTTATAATTTATGGAAAGCTTTTGATCGTGATTCAAATGTTGCAGGTGCGGCGGGTGAGATTAAAGCTATGAAAGGTAAAGGATGGATCAATCTTTTGAATCCTTTAGTTGCTTCTCAAAACTTTGAATACAAGATGTCGAATATCTTAGACAAACCGTTAGAATCTATATTTGGATATATCTCGGTCCTACCAGGAGCATTATCAGCATATAGATACATCGCCTTAAAGGATCATGAAGATGGTAGTGGAGGCCCATTAACTTCATATTTCAAGGGAGAAGATTTATTAAGTGCTCACGATAATAAAGAAAACAAGGAAAACACCAAATCTAATTTCTTTGAAGCAAATATGTATTTAGCAGAAGATAGAATCTTATGTTGGGAATTAGTTTCCAAGAAAAATGATAATTGGATTCTTAAATTTGTTAAACTGGCCACGGGTGAAACTGATGTTCCTGAAACCATTGCTGAATTTATTGCCCAAAGAAGAAGATGGATCAATGGGGCATTCTTTGCTGCCTTGTATTCATTATATAATTGTAATAAGATTTGGGCTACTGATCATTCATATGCTAGGAAATTCTTCTTACACATTGAATTCTTCTATCAATTCATTTCATTGGTGTTTTCATTCTTTTCATTAAGTAATTTTTACTTAACATTTTACTTTTTAACTGGTTCATTAATATCATATAAAGAGATTGGTAGAGCTGGGTTTTGGATTTTCACAATATTCAATTATTTATGTATTTGTGTTTTAACTTCCATGTTTATTGTTTCAATTGGTAATCGACCACATGCATCCAAAAAGATTTTCAAAACTTTGATTATCCTATTAACTGTCTGTGCCTTGTATGCTTTTGTTGTTGGGTTAATCTTTGTCTTTACTGCAATTGAAAACTTTTCAAAAGGTGGCACTTCAAGTTATGTACTTATTAGTATTGTGGTTTCATTATTGTCAACGTATGGATTATATACCTTAATGTCGATCTTATATATGGATCCATGGCATATGGTTACTTCATCCATTCAATATTTCTTGATGATTCCGTCATATACTTGTACATTACAGATCTTCGCATTTTGTAATACTCATGATGTATCTTGGGGTACTAAGGGGGATAATAACCCTACTGAAGATAAATCGAATCAGTATATTATTGAACGGAATGATCGTGGGGAATTTGAGGCGGTGATTATAGATACCAATATTGATGAAGTATATCTTGAGACATTGTATAATATTAGATCGAAGAGATCAAGCAATAAGTTAAATGTTGGGAATAATATTGTGACTAAGCAAGTCTTGGAAGGTGAAGATTATGCTAAAGATGTAAGAACAAAAGTTGTATTAGTATGGATGATTGCTAATTTGTTTTTCATCATGACTATGCTTCAAGTATATGAACCTGGAGAAACTCATAAGAATTTATATCTTGCTTTCATTCTTTGGATGGTGGCTATCTTATCATTGTTTAGAGCAATTGGATCTTTGGGATATTTGTTACAATCATCAGCTAGATTCTTGGTTGAATCAAAGAGTAAATGGTTTAATAAGAAACAAGGATATGGAATCCCAGGTCATAATCCATTAAATTAGAAACTTTTTTATATAAATAATACCCTTTGTTAATTAATATAATAATAAATTTCATATTCTATTTACATGGTATCTAAAAACTATCTACTGCTTTTGAACATCTCTAAGATTTCCAAATGGCAACACCAGGTCAATTCTATCTACTTTACTTATCAACATCGCCAATCTATCAATTCCACATCCCCAACCTCCCGTAGGTGGCAATCCATATTCCATAGCTTTAACATATTCCCAATCAGGTAATAACATTTCGTCGTCATGAAATTGATTTTTTGCATTTTGCTGTAATTCAAACTTTTCAAATTGTCTCTTGGGGTTGTTTTCTTCTTCATATGCATTAACGAATTCTTTCCCATTAATGAATAATTCAAATCGACTTGAGATGGGGCGACCTTGAGAGTCAGTGGTTGATTTTGCTAATGGAGACATAATCTCTGGTTGGTTATAGATGAATATTGGTGTGTTTGGGATTGTGGTACTGATTGATTCGAGATATATTTCGCTTAGGTTGTCCAATAATGCGATCGGGTTTGTGTTTCCAGGGACTGGAAGTTTCAATTGATTATGATATTGGATTAATGAAGATTCGGTTATTTCCCGAGGGAATGGTATACCAGTTTTGGATTCTAAAGTAGGGATGAATTCATATTTAGGGAATTCGGTGGTGAATGGTTGGATATGATCCACATTGAATCCTTGTTGTTTAAGATCGGTATAGATGAATGAAAATAAATCTTGAGTCAATTTCATTAATTCAGATAAACTTGTAAAAGATTGATAAAATTCACAACTTGTAAACTCAGGATTATGAGTCAGATCAAGACCTTCGTTTCTAAAATTTGTGCCAATTTCAAAAATACGTTCAAATCCAGATATGACTAATTTCTTTAACCATAATTCCGGTGCTACTCTTAATTGTAATGGTGGTGGATTAGTCAGGTCTGATGGAGCTGCAAACTTTGAATGGGTTATGAATGGGGTTGCATTAGCACCAGTACCCTCACCACTTAATATTGGTGTGTTGACTTCTAAAAATTGATGATTTAAAAAGAACTGACGAATTGATTGTATTAATTTTGATTTTATAATTATTGGAAGTTTTGAATCTGAATTAACCAAATAATTTAATACTCGTCTATTATTGATAATATGCTTATGAGTTAATCTATTGGGTATTTGTCTTAAACATGGTGTTAACATTTCAATTGGTTTAATTAATTTTAAGGTCAATTCACCAGCATTTGTAATTGAAGCAGAACCAATACAACTGATATAATCACCAACTTTAAATAAATGATGATGATTATCAAAATCATCTTTAGTTAAATTCATAAGCTTATTAGTTGCCATTATTTGTAATTTATGATTATCTTGGAATAAATCAATAAAATACATTGCTCTACCTGATTTTCTAATTGATGATATTTTACCTTCAATTATATAAAATTCATTCGTTCTTTTGTTTGGTAATTGAGTGAAATCATATTGATTGAATTTATTAACGAATTGATCAATTCTTAATCTAATTGAATCGTCGTTATACTTATTTCTTATAGTATCAATTCGAGGATAATTAACATCATTGGATTGTTGTTGAATTTGTTGCTTTCTTGTAGCATACGTTAACTCTGTGGAAGTACTATTATTAGTAGTAGAATTATATCGTATACTTATTCTTCTTCTACTATTCCTATATATTATAGATATTAATCTATTTCGTATCATCTCTTGTTCTCTACTTCTTAAACTCCATATAAAGAAGAATAATCGTAAACTAAAAGAATTTTTCAGATTTTTTATCAATTTTTCATATGAGTCACGTGCTGATTGTAAACCCCATACCAAACTTGTTACAAAACTTGTTAGAAATCAACAACAAAAACATTGTACAGCTTTTTCTTTATTTCTTTATTTCTTTCTTTCTTGTGTGTTCATTGGTTGTTGTGAATCAATCAATCAATCAATCAGTCATCAGACGTAACCACCCTACGATTACGCAATATGTTTGGAAACATATCCCCAAGTTTATCAAATAATGGTCAAATGTGACATGTTCAAACTGGGGAGCTTCCGAAACCATCAAAAATGGCAATATCCTATTGGATGTGCGATTCTTTTGGGTCAATGTGTGCTTGACTATGTAGTTAAGTCACTAGGACATGGTTAAGATAAACGTATGGTGGTTTGATTTACTAGTTGTTGTCGTTAGGTTTGCTAAGCGCAGTAGCCTTCATCGACAACACTAATGAACTGACCCATGAAAGGTTTTGGGAGCATAATACTTAAACTAATGCCGAAGAACATAAGTTTAGGTGGTATGCTCCGGATAGCTTTTAGAGGTAAACTCGTTTGTGCTGTCGAAAAAGACAAATCTACTACCCTAGCCTTTTAAACTGCGTAACTTCATATTTCTGTCTATTCTATGGTAACTTTTGTTCCTTTGTCGTGTAATGGATCTAATATGCCATTGTTTGTTCTTTACTTGGTTTGTTCATTGAAAGAATTCGAGTTTCGTTCGTGGAGTAAATACGCGGGGCATTAAAAATTTCAGTCATTTTACCCGTGGCAATTTACCAGGATTCATTCCTTGAAGATAGCAAAGTTGAAACTATTATAGGACATATGGAAGTTTAACTATAATAACCCATTGTTCTTCTTACATACAATTTAACAAAGCAAGGAGTACCTTATTATTCTGATTGAGTTAAAAGAATATTTAACAATATAAACCCAACTCAATCTTAGAGAGAATACTGACTCATCATTTTCACCAATTCTTTAACAACATTAATCAATACTAATTCCCAACATGAATACAGCTAATAGAACATTACTTAATACACTTAAAATCAAATATCCAATTTTCCAAGCTCCAATGGCAGGTGTATCCACAGTTGAATTGGCATCCAAAGTAACAAACTATGGAGGATTGGGTTCATTACCATTAGCTGGTTTAGATTTCACCAATATTGATTCACTTCAAAAATTAAATGCGATGTTGAATGACTATCATTCGCAAGTAAATGACGAAATACCATCCCATATAGTTAATTTAAACTTCTTCTGTCATGATATTTATTCTCCTCCAACTAACTCACAAATTAACAATTGGAAATCATTATATGGTAGTGTCTTGTCTACTGATAATCACGATATGCTAAACTCGCTCAACTATGATAAGAATGGAAATGTTTCATTCAAACAATTTGAACAATCCTCATCTCCAGGCTTTTCGAAATTAATGGAATTTCTTACCCACAATATCCAACCCGCTATAGTGAGTTTTCATTTCGGAACACCTAGTGTTGAAACAATAACACAATTCCAACAGAATGATATTATGGTCTTTGTCACTTCCACCTCATTGGATGAAACTATTCATTTATATGATTTAGGAGTGGATGGGATTATATTGCAAGGATATGAAGCTGGTGGACATCGAGGGAATTTCTTATCGTCATCAAGATTGGATGAGAATTTATCAACTCATGCATTATTCACACAGCTGATAAAGTATTTGAATACCAGACCTGTATCAACTAGGGCCCTACCTTATTTAATCCCAGCAGGAGGCATTCATGATTCAAATACTGTGAAATATTATCTTGATGCCGGTGCTGCTGGTGTTCAGATTGGTAGTGCATTTTTGTCAACTCCAGAATGTACCACTCATACCTTTTATCGTGCTATTTCGGAACAGCAAAAGAGAATTCCAACAGTTATGATTAATTCGGTACTGGGGAAGTATGCAAGAGCTATCAAGACTAAGTTTATTGAGAATATGGTGTATAATAATAAGTTTAGTGAAGAAGAATTACCACCATATGGATATATGTATAATGCTTATAAGGAATTAAAACCAAAAGTTGCCCATTCACAAGATATTGGATTCTATTTGGCCGGACAGAATTATTATGAGAATGAAAGTGATGCTCTGGTTGAAGATGTTATGAATAAATTAACTCAGTAGTATATAGTTGTATATGTGGCTTACGTAATATTGGTTAGCATGATTACATAATCAGTGAATGAGAAAAAAATTTTAAGATTCAATCCCAGTCTCTCTGAAAAATTAAAATGAACCATAATACACTCTCCTAATAGCAACTGATCCAAGTATCATAATAAAACACAACACATAACAGAATATGTCCGACTCAATCACCAAATTTCAATTCACATTGTCAGATGAATCCAAGGAAAGAATCTCCAAATTGGTAGATTATTCTAAGACTATTGCTCATTATGGATTCATTCCATTTGTATTATATTTAGGTTGGTCAAGTTCTACTAATAAACCATCCATATTCAACTTATTGTCTCCATTCCCATCTGCTTAGACTATTTAAGAAGAACAAGAGTAATAGCTGTGGGGTGAAACGTATATTATTGTAAATAGATTATTAATATATATTAAGTCTTTATAATTATTCCAATGGCATATTGCCAATGTGGATTTGCTAAAGCTAAAGAGTTACTGAATTGTAGCAATTTGATTTAGCTATGACATTCGAGAGTAATAGAACAATCTCTTTAATAGGAAGTCGACGAATGATACTTCTGGTGGTTTCCCCCCGAGATATTGGTTTTGCCCAACGGCTTGCCCCGGCATCGGAAAAATCAAATTAAGATTCCATCATTCCTTCCCTGAAATTTATAATCAACTGCTATTTCTTCTTCCACTCTCCTCGCCACACTATGAACAATGAAGAACCAAGCACAAGAAAGAAGTTCTCATCACGGCAGATTGAATTCATCTCTGGACTATCAGCCGGATTTACAACCACAATAGTCACCCATCCATTAGACGTCATAAAAATCAGACTTCAACTTCAACATAAATCACAACCAACGGCAACCACCACATCTTCCAAACCATTCAACTCAATAGTAACAATAATAAAGAAACTTAATACAGATGCAAAACTAATATCCTCCCAATCCAAACACGGCCGTAGTCTCACTCCATATTTCATATCCTACTATCGTGGACTTACACCCAATTTAATAGGAAACGTCGCCGCCTGGGGAATATATTTCGCCAGTTACGCCGAGTTCAAAACCCTTCTCCATTCAGATAGTTCTGCCTCCACAGCCAGCAGTACGGGCAGCTATTTCTTGGCTTCTTCGTTATCAGGAATTTCGACTTGTATCATAACCAATCCTATCTGGGTGCTAAAGACCAGGATCTTGGGTAGTTCGAGAACTGATGCTAAGGCATATCGGTCGATTACGGATGGGATATATAATATGATTAAATATGAAGGTGTGAGGAGTTTTTGGAAGGGGACTATTCCGAGTTTGTTTTCGGTATTTCAGGCAAGTTTACAATTTACAATTTATGATAATTTAAAGAATGTCCATCATAATGGAAATGGGAATAAGGAAAGTTTATCGACTTTCCAATATACTTATATTTCAGCCACTTCGAAGTTGGTGAGTATGTTGGTTATGTATCCTGCACAAGTTGTTAGATCACATTTACAAAATTCCCATTCTGAAGATATCCGTATTAGGGCAGTTGTTGAAAAGTTATGGAAAGAAGAAGGGAAAGTATTGGGCTTTTATAAAGGATTGAGTGCAAATATTGTTAGAGCTGTCCCTGCTACTTGTATTACCCTTGTAGCTTATGAGCTGGTTAAACGTGTATTACTGTAATTAGATAGAAAATGAAGATTTTATAGATTTTGTATATAGATAGGTTCTTGAATGTAACGTTGCATCGAAGGAGACGCGTATTTAAAATTTCTTGTTCTTTTTTGTTTTGGAGAGCATCAACAAATAAATGTCATTGCCATTCTTTTCGACTTTAAAATGAGTACAGTATCTGAAGAGGTGATACCAACTGAAAGCATGACCACTGAAGAAGTTAATAAAGTCTCCATAGACGTACTCAAACTTGATGAAATTGTCAATGAAGAATCAACTGCTGGAAAAAGAAAACTCGAAGAAACTGATCATCAACAAGAATCAACCACTGAAGATGAGCCAAGTTTAAAAAATGTAAAACTTTCCAACGAAGGCCAACCCCAATCAGATCAAGAGGAAAAACCGTGGCTTCCACCTACGATAACCACCATTGAAAATCCCCTCCAATTCAACACCTCGACCTATCATTCCCCCATCCCCAAAGTAATCTCGGAAAACGTATCCCAACCAGTTGTCCTTGGTGTTGACGAAGCAGGAAGGGGTCCAGTCCTTGGCCCAATGGTCTACGGCCTTTCGTACTGTCTTGTAACATATCAATCTGGCCTCAAGACCAAATACGGCTTCGCTGACTCTAAGGTTCTTAAAGACACCAAACGTCTTGAGTTATTCAAATTGATCGAAGAACAACAACATGAACTCAATGACAATGTAGGATATGCTACCACCATCATGACAGCGAAAGATATTTCTTCGGGGATGTTACAATCTAGTCATGGAAATGGGGCATATAATTTGAATGAACAGGCTCATGATACGACCATAAATTTGATCAAACAGGTCTTGCAGAAAGGAGTAAATGTGACCAAAATATTCATTGATACGGTTGGTCCTCCGGCGACTTATCAAGCTAAATTGAGGAAGATTTTTCCGGAAGTGGAAGAGATTACGGTGACGAAAAAGGCTGATAGTATATATCCTATCGTAAGTACCGCTTCAGTTGTGGCTAAGGTGACGCGTGATTTAAATATTGAGTATTTCAACCAAGATGCTATGTTGTCGGTAGTGAAGGGGAATATAGGATCCAGATATCCTAGTGATCCAAATACTAGTAGATGGTTGAATTCAAATGTGGATAATGTGTTTGGATGGTGTTTTGGGTTTGTTCGATTTTCATGGCAGACTGCCAAAGATGCGCTTGTGAAGCATAATGCCGCTGAGGTTATTTATGAAGAACAATGTTTAAAAGAAGATTATCTGGATGTTATGAGTTTGTTTGATAAAAAGATAGATGGGAAGTTGAATAAGAATTATTATAACACCAATGAGTGTGTATTATAGTAGAACTTTCTATATATAGAGTAGAACTATAGAATAAATTGAACTTAATTCTGTATTGATGTAAATCCCAATCCAGTGTGATTCAATGATTGAGTTTACAAAGGGTGGACAACATATGGTTAGTATTGTGCCGATCGTTCCTTCATATCGACGACCCACCTGCATATTGTCCTTCCATTCGGAAGATATCATCAATAATGAAGATCGGGCGTCAAATACTGACCACGAACAAATATATCATTATCAATCAAATCCTTCGAATGGAACGACAATACTCCAAACAGATCGTGCATATGAACAAAGCATTCGCTGGGTAGCTATCAGCCCTTCATCTTCAGGACCCCGTTGCAATTACAGCTACATCCACCAATGCTGCACATGTAGGAGCCTCCTACATCGCTGGTATGTTCTTAACCATTATGTCTATGTACCCTATCATTATTAATGGTTACAATTACGTCCAAGAACAATGGTTATATAATGTAGAATAACCTCCGATTGTGCACAATGCACTGAACCAGGTTGAAACTTTTTTCAACTCAACTGTCAATCCCTTGCTCAACTCCACTGTGAATGCATTAATTGCCGACGTTAGCTTTGATATCCTTCAACAGTCCGTCGTTTCGAACCACATCCAACCAGTTTTGCTTCTAGTTATGGACCAATATAACACCGTTGCTACTACCGTTGTCGATGCTTACAATTCTGTTGCAGAAAGTTTACCCCCATTACGTTCCTTCTTCCAAGCTATTTGCAATCCATTTAACACGATATTAAAGTATTATGTTTTCACCAACAGTTTTAATCTTATCTATTGTTGTTGTCCTTTTACCGTGCCATGCTGTTGTTACGTCGCACACCTATCTCGAAGAAGAGCACTAGCAAATATGTCTTCGTTTTCAATTTAGACAAAGCGACCGGTCGTTCATTGAAGATCCTGTCACCCACCGTCTCCCTTGGCCAATGGAATACTTTCCTTCAGTCGATCCACGCCATCTCTTGTATGATTGCTGCGGCTTTTATTCCCAGAAATAGACACTATCCATTCCCAGACATTTCCTTTGATGATATGCTACTGATATCTTAACTGCTACCAACCCCATCTTACATGCTGTTCGTTTCAATGATCTGTTGCTTCATCGGGCTTCGATTGACGCTGCTACTTCCAAGAAACATCCAATAGCTGACCGACTTACATCTGTGAAATTCACCTCCATTAGAAACTTCAAGATTTGGTTATTCAAGCGTCTCCCTGACCCCGCTTCCAAAAAGGTGAAAGACAATAGACTTCAACTTGCCGCTGCCATTGATACCGACATGAATAAATTCTATAACCTACCATATGTCACGACCATGCTGGAATACCATAAACAATTGTATGAACTCCTCCAACTTCATCAACTTGTCCATTACAAAGCCACTACAGTTTACGATATGTTGAAAAATACCTTGGAAACATCTCCCTTGGGCCAGAGACGCCTTTGAACCATTATTACATCAGTATCCTGACTATGATTTCCATCACATCTAAGTCATTTACGCATCCACCCGCAACGATGTTCCTGATGAATTTCAAGATGTCTCACCTACTACCTCAACTCAAGAATCTGCTCCAGCACCAGCTATTGACAACAATTCTGATGAGTCCAAGGATCCTGCACCAACTGAACCAACTGCCGATGATGCCAAACCCAAACGTCATAAGAGATTCCGTCGCAAGAACAAATCCGAGAACCTGCTACTCAATCTGCTGCAACTTCTACTCCAACTTCTACTCCAACTGCTACTCCAACTGCTGCTTCATCTGCTACACCAGCTAATACCTCAAACAAACACCACTATCAATCCAGTGAACATTAGTAGTCCTGCTCCATTTGCTCCAGCTATTGCCTAATCTAACGCCACTACTGCTACCCCAGCTTCTGTGAAACTGTCGAACTAACAATAACTAGCCGTGCCACCCACCAGCGCTGCTGCTAGAATATATTTTGATGATTTGATTGTTCCAGCCTTGTTAGATTCCAGTTCGGATTGCTCATTCATGTCCACCACCCTTGTCGATCAACTTCAAGTTGTTAAGATTGCTGATCCCCATCAAACACTTACAATCAAGCAAATAGTTACCAGTGTCAGTGTTCCTCGTGTCCAAGCTACTGCCGAATTTTCGTTCCGTCCTGAAGATACCCAATTCCGTCCTAGACTCCATCTGAATTAAAACACCATGTCGAAGTTATTAAGAAGGTATGTAAGATATTAAATGACAATGGTCTTCAAATGAACATGGAGAAGACACAGTTTATCGAGAAGATGGTCACATTCCTTGGCTATCAAATCACCTACAAGAAGATTGCCCCAACCAACGATAAGATTCAAGCAATCCAAAATTGGGATCTACCTAAAACGACCACAGAGGTAAGATCAATGGTCAACTTCACCAACTTTTTCCGAAACTTCATTCCAAATGTATCCAACATCACAGGTCCATTAACCGATTTAACCAAAGACAATCCCGGAAAAAGACAACCAATTCAACACAACAATCAATCAATCAATCAATGCTTTCAACCAACTCAAGAAATGTTTAATGAGATTACCAACTTTAGCTATTTACCAACCACATGAAACAACATATATTTTCTCAGATTGTTCTGATGAAGCAATGGGAGGTGTCCTATGTCAGATTCATAAGAAGGGTTCACGAAGCTATTATTTACCAATCAGTTTTGCTTCTTTTAAACTAAATGACACACAGAAAAGATACAGTGCCATGGAGAAAGAATTACTCGCAATAATTACTATTCTCAAAAAGTTCAATTACTTATGCAATGGAAATGTAATTATTTATTCAGACCACCAATCACTCAGTATCATACAACGCAAAACCACTCCACCACCACTTCGAGTAGCTCGATTTTTAGATGTCCTTGGTGTTTACTCTCCAGAGATTAGATATCTTCCATGAAAGAAGAACTACATTGCAGATATACTTTCCCGATACCAAACAACAAACATCAAAGAACAAGCTGACGAAATTGAAACTACCAAACCAATGTATGCTCTATCCATCGACGATTTAACTGAAACAAATCTTGAGGAAATCAAACAACATCATGAAGAAAGAGCACAACAAAGTGGAGACGATGAACAATTACCATTTCATAACTTTACAGTAATAGACAATGAACTCCACATCATCATCAAGAATAAACTAGTCAGCGAGATTGCATTGGAACATATATGGTACATTTAGATATTGATCATGCCACCATACCTACCTTACCTTATCTAATTCCTTTCGTTGGTTGCCATCCGGCTTTAGACTCCAACCATGAATTTGTTGACCAATTTAAAGAATTACCAACACCGGCTGGCCTTATCCTTAGTACACCATACTGAATCAAGTACAAGAAGAAGCCATCCTGGAAAGTTCGTCCACTACCAAAGTATTAACATCCTGAAATTGAGTTTATGAAATCCCATCTCGAAGAGCTCGTTGATGCTGGTAAGATCTCCCAAGTGGATCCTGTGATAACTGCTCTGTTGCCTTTCTAGTTCCCAAGAAGAGTACCCCATTCTACCGTATGGTTATTGATTACCGTCCTGTGAACCTGTTTATTGATGTGCCTGTTAGTGAATTCATTCCCCAACAACAATTGCTAGCTGGTTTTTTGGTTTATCTGGTTGATATCATGTCTTAATTATGGTTCGGTTAGTTCTTCTGTGAAACATGGTTTGGTTATTGTTTTCTATCTGGTATTTGCAGTCAATTGCTAAATCCACAATAAATTGTGGTTAGCTGCAAATCCTGTAGAATTATCATTTTTGAAGATTATAAATGAAGGTCTTTTCCAGAATTCTAGAAATCAATTTTTTATATTTTTATACTTTTATTCTTCAGCTTATTTTTGATCATTTTCTAGTTTAATAATATCATATTTTATCCCAAATTCAAATTAGTATTATCAAATCAACTTTAGTTCGAACATTATATATAATACCGATGAACCGACCTATATGTGCACAGGTAGGATGTACCATCGCATCGGGTGGGGCTCTATACGCCAATCGCCAATTGCAACGGGGTGGAGGTCTTAGTTTCCATCATTCAAATTAACACGCTACCAATTGAAGAATTTATGAGACAGTTTATGTCAACAATAAATGAGATTCCACTATAAAATGCTGACGTAATTCATTGTTTATTAACTGAATCTTCCCACGGAACACGTTAAATCCACTTCATGAATTAGAAGAATTCCCTGAAATCAAAGACAGAGCCGTTATTCTGCAAACGAAATTGGAACTATTAGCAGTAATTACTACTCTCAAGAAATTCAACTATTTGTGTACCGGGTAAGTGGAAGTATATTCAGACCACTGGTCGTTATCTATCTTACAGGATAATAATTCGCAACTCCCCTTTGGTGTGGCAAGGTTTCTTGACGTTTTAGGAGCTTATTCTTCCAAAAGCGTGTTGGCTCAAAAATGTCTCTTACTTAGTCTCTGGCTTAATCAAACTCACCCTATCAAACTTAAAGAGTTCCAGGAATTCAAGTGGGATCCAGAAAACGTTAGCAATTGCTTCAGAAATCAACTTCAACCATGGACACAGAAGTCACAACCAATGCCAGTCTGAAACCAACGTCCCAACAGACACGGTCCAATCAAGCTACCTCCAATGGGCCACAACCACCACTCAGATCCGGTAACGATCACGCCTTTAATTCTCAAAGCACTAACTGCTATGGCTTGGGACATTCGAAAGAGAGTGTTCTTCCTATGGCAGAATTTCAGCAATTCCTGACTAGAAAAAAAGTTGGACCAATATAAGGACGAACATTCTATGGAGTTATTAGCATGCCTGACGAGGAAATAATGATGGGGGAAAGAAGCACTACTGACCAACAGTATGGGAATATATCGGTTCTAGCCACTTTCAGGGGAAGATTCAAATAGCTCTTAAATAAAGTGGAAGTTGAACGGGGTTTTCAACTATTGAGGATTATATTGTAAGCCAAACCAAACAAACAAAGCGGAAAAAGGGAAAAGCCCATCCAGTAACCAACAGTAGCAGTAACACCAACATAACTATAACCCTTAATGTATCAAATAATCACTATTCTTCTGTTATACTCGATGTATTCCATTCTCTCTTTGTGTGTGTTGCAAAGAGAAAGTCTTCTAAAAATTGGCAGCACACAAAAGAAACAAAATTTAAAAGAAAAACGACAACCAATTTGATCGAAAATACTGTCGTATAGTTTCCTCATTTGTCTCAAGTGTAGACGACATTGTTTCTGCAATCTTCTTCGTGGGAATTGCGCCCATAATGAGAACTACCTCTTCACTTAATAGAAATATGAACTATTAGACTTAAATGGTCTAACTTGGTAAAACTCTTCACTTAGCACTATTGATGGACTCTACTTAGAAACTCTAGAGATATTCAAAGTATTCTTAAATTATCATTCATTTTATTTCACTAATTTTTCCATCTTTCATCCATACTAAATAAAATCTACAAAATTTATATAAAATTGGGGCAAACTTGCTAATTTATATTAACACCAAATTAACCTTTTCGGGAGAAGTTCTTCGGTGATTTATCCCCTAAACTAAATCCCTTAGTTTTACCGATCATGGATCTCATCATGTGATTTCTTGTCCTTTGTGGGTTTTCGACCGTGTCGTAATAGTCGCGAAACCGACATATTTAAAAGTAATGTCGTGACTATACGACAATACACGACCATTTTTAGATCTTATTCTTTTTTCTGTTGAGTTTCGGTAATTAACATCCGAAATGAAGATCTTCTTTTTTTTGTTCCAGTCGGAACACATTGATGCGAATTAACACACTTAACAATCATCTTACATTACCAACAGAGAGGAATGGAATTAAATCCCGACAAGTAAAAATAAATTTTCGAAAAGAGATTAAAAAAATTACAAAACAGGGTTTCTTTAAAAGTTTATCTCTCTTCTTTTCTTTCATATTTTCAATCTTTAGAAGACATTCAATACATTTACGCACTCACATACATTCATCAACAATGTCTGCTTTATTTATTGCATCTAGAACTTCAGCAATGGCTTTAAGAAGATCCATCGCTGTTTCTACCAAACAACAATCATCTTTCTTACAATTAGCCAGATTATATTCATCAGGTAAATTCCCACCTCATACTGTCATTAATATGCCTGCCTTATCTCCAACTATGACTCAAGGTAACATTGGTTCTTGGGCTAAAAAAGTAGGTGAAGAATTAGTTCCAGGTGAAGCCATTGCCGAAATTGAAACCGATAAAGCATCTATGGATTTCGAATTCCAAGAAGAAGGTTATTTAGCTAAGATTTTAATGGATGCTGGTTCTAAAGATGTCCCAGTTGGTAAACCAATTGCTGTCTATGTTGAAGAAGCTGAAGATGTTGCTGCTTTTGAAAATTTCACTTTAGCTGATGCTGGTGAAGCCGCAAAACCAGCTCCAGCTGCTGCCACTCCAGCTGCTACCGAAGCTCCAAAGGCTGAAGCTCCAAAAGCTGAATCTGCTGCTCCATCCTCTGCTCCAGCTAAGAAGGCTGCTGCTCCAACTGACAGAATCATTGCTTCTCCATACGCCAAGACCATTGCTTTAGAAAAGGGTATTTCCTTAAAGGGAATTAAAGGTTCTGGTCCCGGTGGTAGAATCGTTGCCAAGGATCTCGAAAATGTCCAACCAGCTGCTGCTGCCGCCGCTCCAGCTGCCGCTGCTGCTCCAGTTGCTGCTGCCCCAGGTGCTTCTTACGAAGATATTCCAATCACTGCCATGAGAAATGTCATTGCTTCAAGATTATTACAATCAACTCAACAATCCCCATCATACATTATTCAATCACAAATTTCTGTTTCTAAATTATTGAAATTACGTGCTTCCCTTAATGCATCTGCTGATGAAAGATATAGATTATCTGTTAATGATTTATTAATTAAAGCTATTGCTAGAGCTTGTGTTAGAGTCCCACAAGTCAATTCCGCTTGGTTAGGTGAACAAGGTGTCATTAGACAGTACAACAATGTTGATGTTTCCGTCGCTGTTGCTACCCCAACCGGTTTAATCACCCCAATTGTTAAAGACGCTCATACTAAAGGATTAGCTACTATTTCTCATGAAGTTAAGGATTTAGGTAAGAGAGCTAAAATTGGTAAATTAAACCCAGAAGAATATCAAGGTGGTACCATCTGTATTTCTAACTTGGGTATGAACCATGCTGTTACCGCTTTCACTTCTATCATTAACCCACCACAATCTGCTATTGTTGCTATAGGTACTACTGAAAAGAAGGCTGTTCCATCCGATGTTAATGAACAAGGTTTTGTATTTGATGATGTCATTACTATTACTGGTACTTTTGATCACAGAGTTATTGATGGTGCTCTTGGTGGTGAATGGATTAAGGAATTAAAGAGGATTATTGAAAACCCATTAGAAATGTTGATTTAAGAGTTTAACTAGAAAAAGTTAAAAATTCATTGTAAGTGTGTTCTGTATTTAAATTATAAATAAATGTAAAAAATTGTAAAAGGCAGCCTTTTAACGGTATTAGTAGTTATTTATTGAATATCGACGTTAAAAAACCGTTTTGTGTGTTAATTTCGGATCTTCATCCGATATTTCAACGTTTAAACGGTTTTACAAAGATGTGGTATAAGCCCGGGGTCACCTTCTCCGGACTGGAGAAGTGGCTTCCTTCTAAATGAAACCTAGGGAACATCTCAGATGAAGGACGCCTTAGGCAATATCGGGATATATTGCTTTAAAGTATGACTCAGGCGAAGATTTTAGTTACTGTTGCCTACACAATATGTGGTTGACTCATTAAAATCATGTGATGTCATACATACAGAAACCATCTTATAAGTATAAAAAGCCCCAAGTGGTACCCAAATAATTACCACTTACTCTCCTTATTACTTTTTTACACAACACCTCAGAGATTAAGTTATATTTCAATTCGTCAAGAAACAGGGTTCGCCCAATCACTTAAAATTTCCATAAAATTAGTGAGTTTCTATAAATAAAATTAAATCAACAAATACAAATTCACTCACCCTACAAAAAGTCATCCAACTGAAAAAAGCGAACGAATTCTCATCTCCACTTAAAACTCAATTGGAATAACAACAACAATAACTACTACTACCACTACCAGATAATACAAACACTCTCATGACAATCAAACAAATATACATCGCCAGACACGGCTATCGAGCCAACTGGGCCCCACCACCCCATCCCCCTAATCCAACCGGTATCGACAGTGACCCACCATTAGCACCCCATGGTGTTGCCCAATCAAAACAATTAGCAGCATATTTACATTCCTTACCCAGTATCGACAGACCCCAATTCATATTATCATCCCCCTTCTATAGATGTCTTGAAACTTGTCAGCCAATTTGTGATATGTTGGGAATTCAAGTTGCAATTGATCGTGGTATAAGTGAATGGTTTCGTAAAAAGAGAAAAACAAAACCAATTCCGGCCGATTATGATCAGCTCAAGGAATTCTTTGGTCCGAAGATGTTTGTGCCTGAAGGTGAATGGCCTCGTGATACTGCGGTTGGTGTGGTGCCTGATGTGACTGGAGAAACGTTTCATGATATTTTTGAAAGAGTTAAACGGTTTTGGGAGAAGTTTGTACCGGTATTTGAATCGAAATATCCTGATATTGAGAATATATTGGTGATTACTCATGCAGCTAGTGCAATCGCACTAGGATCCGTGTTGTTGAAATTGAATTCTGTGACTGATTATATTGATGATAATCAAACTATGATTAGATGTGGGGCTTGTTCTGTATCGAAATATATCAGGGATGATAATGATAATGATCAGAATCAAAAATGGAAGATTGTCATGAATGGGAATTGTGAATTCTTGACAATGGGTGAAGAAATGCATTGGGATTTTGCAATGGGTGTAGAGGCCGGTTCTGCCGATGATGTTAAGATGAGACAAGCAAAAGCGGCCGATGCAGAAGCAAAAGCAAAACTTAAACAACTAGGAGTAGAACAAGTAGATGAACCCTCCACAAATCAATCAGAAACAGTCACGGAGTTGGCAACTGGAGCAGATGGTGATATAAATAATGAAGAATTCGAGGTATGTAACAACAAAATCTTATAGATTTTATAATTATTTATAAAATACACACATATATTTCTTATGCATGTCTTTATACTAACCCCCCAAACCATAGAACTTCTATATAACAATAGACGTACCAATGTTTGGCAAAAAAGAAGGTCTCGAAGAAATGAATAGAACATCGGCTCCAATTTCTACCACCCCGAGATCAAAAATAAACGTCATAAAACCATCAGCACAACTCCAATTCACAGACATAAACCATCCAAATCCATTAATCAAAATCTCCAATAATATAATCAGTCCTTCCGAAGCAGGAGCAGGAGGTCCTGGGTCAACGAATGGAAATACAGAAGTGGTGAATACTTCTGCGATTATTGATGGGAAAATATTCGAAATGGGTTGGAAGTCTTTAGTAGGTACGGATTTGGTGTTTGATGATTATGGAGAATTGATAGGTACTGTGAAGGAACATTTAGTTCATAATGATCGGGTGAAGATTGTGCCTAATGATAGTGGGATTAAGGATGAAGATCTGGAAGAAGAGGAGGAAGAATATGATGACGAAATGGTTTCGGAAGAAAAAGATACGCAGAGTCAGTTTTTGAAGAGAGCTATTAAACTGGCAAAGAGAAAAGAAGGAGCTTCTACAACAGCTAATACTACGGTTGATACTACAATGAACTAAAAGTTAAAAATTATTAAATGTATAATAGATTATATTCTCTCTATAAATGTATTCCTCTCTTCTTGAATTAAATTAATTAAATATATACACCTCCCTTACTTCTTCTTATTAACCACCAGTCTTTGAACATTCTCCATAAACACCTGCAAACTAGAATCATCAGTCAAAACATCAATCTGTCCACTATCAGCAAACAAATGTCCCGCAGTCGAATAAGTAGTCGAAGGATTCAATTTCGCCATCAAGAATCTTGCCTGTGATCCACCTTCATCACAATCTATAAATCTCGGTAAGGGGAATCTATCCATCAACAACATCATAGCTTCACGTTTTGGTGCTTCCAAGAATTCTTTGAAATAGGCATATTCTTCTTGTTCATGATATCCTGCCTTTCTCCATTCTGCAACTTGTTTCCCATGATATATCAAAATTTGGAAAAATGTATCCAATAATAAAATCTTGGAATGTCCCAAACTCAATGAATCTAACAAAACCGGTTCTGGTTCTTGTTCTTCCGGAGTAGATCCCCAAGTATTGATATCGAATGAAAGAAGAGTAGGTTGAATCATCAATAATGAATTAGCAACATCTTCATGCATGAATGTATGACGAACATAACTGGTCTCATCAGGGGAACTATTGAAGACATTTATGAATGGTGATCGTCTGAGATGGAACAAAAACTGGGGGAAGAAAGCATAGGTCGAAGATAAACGGAACAGTTCGATTTGTTGGGGGTTATAAACTGCAAATCGGGAACAGAAATCAATAACAAGTTGATCAAGTTGTTTGATTAATGTGTTGGCTGGGATTAGTTTGTTGGAATCTGGTTGGAGTTTATACATCGCCTTACGAGCTACCAAGACTATGGAAGCTTCTTGATCAAATCCAGCTTCGAGATTGATGGGGTCGGAATCAGCTATGACGTTGATGGGGATGGTGGTGACACGTAATCGCATTTCACCATTTGGATGTTGATAATGGAATAAATATTGAATGGCAGTTTGTTGATTGTTGGTACTGTCTAATTTCTCGAAATAAAGTGCATATGTAGATTGTGGATTAACGTTACATAATTTCCATGAATTAGTTTTCCCTTCACCTAATGTATCAGCTTGACTTATCATTCTTTCATTTTGAGTAATCGTTTTATTAAATGGTAAAGCAGTAGCATTCCCGATCAATCCTTCAATCTTCAAATCATGGGGAACTTTAACCTCTAAAGTAGCATTGAATCCCATATCTAAAAATTCTGAATTTCCATCATCTTGTTTATTAAAGAATTTGATAAAACTTTGTTTGAAAATCGCAGTACTGAATGAATCACACATAACAACCATTCCACCGGTCTTGTAACAAACTTCATCCATTTCAAATAATCCAACTTGATCATAACTTCCAATAAAATAATTACAACTCAATCCTAATTTAACCAAATTCTTAGTAATTTCAGTATAGAATTTTTTAGCATTCTTAAATAATGAAGTATCTGATTTAGTCTTAGACGACATATTTGGTTTTTGTGGCAATGTTGCGTGTTGAACTCTTTCAATATCATTATGTGATCTAAATGGTTCTTTTAACAATTTATCAACAATCTTTCCCGGACCTAAAGTACATACCCCGGCAATAAATACCATCAAATGACCTCCAGTGGTGGTGACATGATCCCCAAGAATGGCACGTAACAATAAACTAGCAATATTTATGGCACATCCCGTGGCACGTTCTGGACGTTCGGTATATTCCGAATGAGGGAATTTGTTGGGAACTAGACTATCGATAATATTTGTAAGTTGATATTCTACAATGCTGACAGGTTGAAGAAATTTACGACCGATTGGACTGATTATATTTTCAAATCCATTTGCAGTACCGTCTCTATGCATGGGTTTGGCAGTTAATCCAGCCGATAATAATCCTAATGAAGCTTGGATTTGTTCTAATGTATAATGCTTGGCTCCATTGAATGTATAACTGATGTTATCATTTGTAGTTAAATCATGGATCTTAACATGTTTACCAAATGAAATAAATCCAACAAGGGCATTCTCGGGTAAAAGACTTAATGAGACCACCAAACTTTGTTTCAAACTAGCGAAAGCTTCCTCGAGATCTTCGTCTTCAAAACATGTGTCAACAACATAGAAGAAAATTGGAGATAAGCTGCTTAATCTCCCAGTTTGGTATTCAACAGTTGAAAGATCTTGATTTAAACTTATTGGGAAAATTGGTTGACCCGTTGTTTGATCAAATATTTTAGGTATTTGATTTGTAGATTGACACATTTGGCAAGTCCATATTTCATTGTTGACATATACATATGGATTTAATATGGCTCTACATGTACGACAACTGATTAATTGGGATTGGTCTAATACTTGAATTGGAGATTTATTATTAAGGGGAGTATATAAGGACCCTAATGGGATTATATTTCTTTCATGTTGTAATTTTGATTTGGGGAGAGAACTCCAAGATAGTCTAACCCCATTGATGTCTTCTCTAGCTTCAAAATCCATGATATCCTCCAACCAATGAAATTTAATGTCTATGTATGTTGGATATACCCGGGTATGTACAAATATTGGAGGGTTCTTATATAGAAAAGTCAAAGGGAAAAAAAATTGAGATTGAATTAAATAATCTGAAATTAATAAAGCCACATCTTGATGCAAGGTCGTGTAAAAAACGTTTTAATTTAAAATCGGATAAATAACGCGGTTGTTTTCATTTGTTGTTTTATTTCTTTGCATTTTTCGCGAATGGAAAACTCTGAAATTTTTTTCCGGCATATAGTCAAGACATATTTCCGAAAAGTGCGACTTTTCTGTCTATTTAGTGGTCCTCAAAAAAAGCCTTTGTTTTGATTTTTATTCACCACTTTCTTTTCCTAACTTCATCAACAAATACCACTTATTTAGCTTAAAATAACATCAATCAATCAATTAAAGTCATCAATTCATCTCTCTCAAGACAGTGCGATACCTATAAGCCCAATTCAGGTAAGTTTTTTCGAATTTCTCAGCAATTTATCGAAATTGAAAGTACTTTTCATCATTCAACAAGCATTAATTGAAGATTGAAGAGAATTGACTACGTCTGAGTATATAGAAGAACATGCTCATGCTTTCTTTTCTAGTCTTGGTAGTTTCCTTTTTGATACTATTTAGTTTGCCCAATTTCTCTAACTTTAGATGATGACACTGGTCGATTTAAAGGAGAAGTTCTCCTATTTACTACATTTTATATGTTTCTGGATGTCTGCATGTTGTTCATAGATACAGTATCTGCTTGTAATTGGGGTTTAACTGACAATTACGTTGGATTGAAGTCATATTGTGAATTAATGACCGAACTCTTATGTTTCCAACTAGCTATTAGAATTTGTCTTTAAATTTTTCTTAAGACAAATTCTACTTCAATTTTCTTAAGACAACAAAATGTCGCGTGCGACATCCGGAAATAAGCTGTACAATATGCAGGAAAAAATAAAAAAAGTTTTCCACTTGCGAATAATGCATTTCTTTCCTTCCAACGGTTTTTTTACTTAATAACAATATGAATTCAACTGAACAATAAGATTTTTCACACATTGCAACGATAACTTGATTTGATTATTTTAATGACACACATTCACACTTTAATTACCACTTCTTTGCTCTGTTTTATCACTCTATGAGCCCTGTTTCTGATATTTTCTTTGACGGTTAGTTGTATGAGAACTCGGTGCCCGTCAAAACGCGTCTGTTCTAATGATGCAGTGTTGTGCCTGAAACTTCTGGCATCATTATTTGGTCGTTAATTCTTTTGTGTAATGATTTGAATACCCATCGTCTCGTTTAAGCAAACTTTGCTGAGAGTAATGTCAGTAAATTGTACCATAAGCCTTGTCGTATCTCACAAACTACAGCTATGTAAGTTCCAGTATGTATTCTCTTAGTAGATTACTGGGGTTTTTAATCGGACTAATCAAATCGATGTCATGTAACTCGTCCCAGTTCTTATCGTAGCCTTGTGCGTACAATGAGGAAATTTGTGGATTCCATTTGATTCCTGTATAAGAAAATAATACTCTACTGACCATTAAATGTACACCATATTCCTGCAACCAAACTGACGTACCAGCAAACTTGAAGAAATATTTCTGTAAAAAATCTTCATCGATATAACTAGCTAGTTTACCCTGGAAGAAATCCCGCAACCCGCGAAAGCGCTCATCATTCTCTAAGTGGCGAGCCAAATACCAACAAACTGTAAGCCAATCTATCGAACATATCCGAAGCAAGGTATAATCTACAAATATGATCCAACCATTCATATTCATGACTGGTCTACAGCAACCCAAAATTAATTTTACAGTTTTTACACGGTATGTTTCTATTATGCTAGAGATAGAAAAATATATGGATTTTATCTATTGAATTAGATATTGGTAAAGGAACTTAGAGTTCTAACTTTGAGGCGCTTTCATTGAAGAGCTTTTCGTCTTTGGCCAGTATTTCGAGCAAAGTAGTATTGATAAGTAATTACGAGAATTCAGTGCCAAAACGATCCCCAGGCATTCTCATGTGCCTGTGTATTTGAGATATTTAGTTTAATCATAGCTATTCTATAGAATTCAATTTATATCCTTCTTATCACTCAGCTCAAATGTGCACCATATTGCTATGCCCCAACTGTATTTGCTCATCCCCGTACAGTTTACAAAACTCCTTACTTCTTTTCAATACGCATCGCAACATGCTTTGATGTGTCTCTTCATCTTCAAAGTATTCAGTACCCTCTGATTTACGTTGGATGTCATCTAAAAGAGAATTGATCCCTGTTATATGCAACACATTATTATTCTCGTCAGCAACGGATAGAGATAATGTTAAATAATCAACACCTGTTTTTGGATCGATTTCCCACATTGAAATTCCATTTGGCATTAAAGCATTCGGACCCTTTTTATCACATACAATACTTGAATTTTTCGAACCAGTGACAGGTATATCAAAGGAAACGGAACTTGATAAATGAGTGATTTTGTATGAGTCTAGGATTCTGGTTAATACAATGATGTTTGGCCTGTACATTGAATTCCCGCACCCGCAAGACTTTATATGAGATCGCAAGAATCCAATCCAAGATTGTTTCCTGGTGTCATTTTGGTTTATTATTGGGATAAGCTCTGTTCCTCCTCTAATTTTACCTATTTTCCCAAACAACCTCAGCTGGTTAAAGCTGATGTCGCAGATGATTTCCCCCTTGTAAACAGTCTTCAATGGACATTTAAGAATCGTTAGATTTTCACATTCATATATCAAATTTATGTTTTCGGTATCTCTTGGATCGATAATTGGAGTCCAATTCTTTTCGATTTTTCTTCTTTCCCTTGATTTGATTCTTAATTCTACCACCTTATTATATTGTATGTGATCAAATCTTTCGTCTATTGTCCCATCTGTATTCGTTTTCCCAAGCTGAAATTGGAATAAGTAACCAATGAACATGGACCTATACATTTCAAATTTTGTGTTGGCAGATTTGTCATCACCGGAAATGGAACTCTTCACGGGTTTTCTATGATAAGCATTAAAGAGCAAAGCTGGCTCTGTCTCATTATATTCATTTTTCATTAAGAATAATCTTGCGTCTTCAGGCCCATGCCATCTTTTTGTCTTTAAGTTGGAATTGTAATAGAATGGAATTGGCATGAATCTAGGGAAAGTGAACTTTTTGTACTCTCTTTGTAAATTACTAGGGTTTTTAATAGGAATAATCAAATCAACGTCATGTAACTCTGTCCAATTCTTATCGTAGACTTGTACATACAATAAGGAAATTTGTGGGTCCCATTTGATTCCTGTATATGAAAATGATACTCTACTGACCATTAAATGTACACCATATTCTTCCAACCAAACTGAAGTTCCAGCAAACTTGTAGAATTGTTTCCGCAAAGATTCTTCATCGGTATAATTATCTAGCGTACCCTGGAAGAAACCCCACAACCCCCTAAAGGGCTCATCATTTTCCAATTGGTCAATCAATACCTTAATAATTTCAACGAAATCATCCAGCAATCGTTGATATTGTGAAATTTGAAATTGAGCATTGTCTTCTATTTCCTCGCAAAACTTATTAGCAGGACTTAGTGAATTATAGAGTGTCAAGTTGTGTGAAATGTACGTTTGGTTCATAATTTCAGGAGTTAACGGGTTGGAGTACAGTTTGTGGTATTGAACCGTGGTTTTGTTGTTGGCTGCAAACTTCTTTAATTTGTCATCATTGTGATCTAAACCATATGGGTAAATAATGACTGAATTTTGAAGTTGTGGAACTGAAGGAGTTGCCTTCCGAAGAGATTGATTGTAAATATTTCCCTGGTGGATAATTGTCAGAAAGATAATAACTAATAAAATTAGATTGGTTAATACACTCAACCGTAAGGCTGGAGTCTTAAACCGGAATGTTCTAAGCATAGTAAACTAGAAATTTCTGACAAGAAAGAGAAGATCCTTAGGACTAGAAATTTCAGAGAAGAAAGAGAAGACCTTTAAAACCAAAAGTAGAAGAGGATCTTTTGCAGCTTTGTAGGGGGAGTATCAGTGAGATGTCATCAATGGTATTAGATGAGTTAAAACAATAAAATGTTTTTCAATTAAACGTCATCGATACCTTAAAATAATTTATTATTTAAGCATCCCCCTTGACAAATGAACTATTTTAAAATGATTATAATTTCATAAACATGTTTTATTTTATTTTCTGATAATAACGTCAGCCACCGGGAAGTGCAACCAAAAAAAAGCCCCCAAAGTGCTTACATGATAGAAATTTTTATTTTTCAACCCCTATAATTTATGGATTCGACTATACTGTCACCTAATTCAGTTTTGAGGAGGCTGTCACCTCCATACCTTTATACGTCTATATTTAACTGTTTTGCGTTGAACAGTTTCTTTCAAAGTTGAAAATTTTCAAATTTTTGCATTGTTACTAAAAAGATTGGACTGTTTTGCAATTTTTTTCGTGAAAAGTGCTAAAAAAATGGCTCAAATTAGAGTCTTAATTACGAGTTTTGACACAACACCGCCGTATTGAAGGATTTGAACAGTATTGATACTTATAATGATCCCATAAAAAGTCGATACCTTCCTTAGTAGTCCTAAAATTAAATGGTGCAAGCAAGGATGTGAATTTAATGGTCATAAAATCACCAAAAATCGCGTTTTGTTAGAAAAAACGCAAAAAAACGAAACCCTATAACTTTCAAGAGAGACTTCTACGCATGGTTTACCACTACTTGCTTATCATTTACTTTTCATTCAATCTGAAATGGTCTATGGTGTTTTTGTTTGATCAAGAATTCATCTAAAATTCCGTGTGGCTTTTTTTACATAATAGGCATTTTACTCGCTACTTACATGTACAAAAAAGGTTATATACACACCTCCTATAAGCCGATGAAATAAATTTCATAAGGGGGAAATCCTGCACAGGATCCCCCCCCAGTGGATATCAGGGATGAGGGATAAACCCTCTGAAAATGAATTATATTCGGGTGAGGGAAGAACCCTCATACAATGAATCGTATGAATAAATCGTTAGCAGAGCCTAATTAATGACACCAACCGTTGCAATTTTAGGACCGGCTGACCTAACTCGACCTACCAGTAGCACGGGAAAATAACGGAATTATGGAAAATTACCCAGGTTACGGACCCACTTGGTTGAGGAAATTTAGCACCTATCATATTAACTTGGCTGGACATACCCGAAATTCAGCACGGAACCACCCTAAAAGTCCGAAACATACTGCAGGGGCTCGAACTGTTGTGCCTGAAACTTCTGGCATCATTATTTGGCCGTTAATTCTTTTGTGTAATGATTTGAATACCATCGTCTCGTTTAAGCAAACTTTGCTGAGAGTAATGACACTAGGGGAAGGTAAATGATACCATGGACCCTGTCATGTCACACGAACTACAGCTAAGCTCTATGGATTTGGCAACCCTATACTCGTCTGGGTGTGTTCGATTGTCGGAGTCGATAGCTAAAGCATGCCATCTACGTACCTATGTCATATCACTCCATTCTATATCAACTAATGATGACAAGTATAAGTATAGTATAGACTAACCTAGTTGTGAATCGCCTTCAAAAGAAAGAAGAGTTGGTGGTTGTAAAAAATATTGGTTGTAAAAAAAAGGCTGCAAAAATAGTGATTACAGGAAAAGTTTAGTATATTTCTATAATGGAAATATAAATATTTTATATGAGGATAATTCCCGTCAGACATGGATCTTAGATAATATCGGGATTGACTTGACGAACCAGTTTTAATGGAGAATTGATTCTGCCTCTCGATGGTATCTACAGCGCCGTTCCCAGCTACGGATCTTGCTCGTAGAAAACAATGAACAACGCTTTGATTGAGTTTGAAAGACAGAAGATGTAATTAGAACTAACTAGTTGCATAAGTTAAGTAAATGGAGGTATATGACTTCCTTGTACAAGCTTGTAACGAGTTCAAAGATGGAAATCCCAAGTATGTTACATTTCACCTGAAATAACATCCAAAATTTTCAAGATTTTGACCAAATCGTACGATTTACTGTCGTAACCAAAACAATTGAGAATTGACGAGGAGAGACGAGTACGGCGAACATCCCCTTTGGTAGTTTGATGGTATTATATGTAGATAACAGGTGAAGGAGATCTTTATGATAATAGAAACAATAGTGAAAATTCTTATGCTTGGTTTCGGGTTTTACTTGTTTAGGCGCATGTGAGTGTTGTCATTGTCATAGTTTTTTTTTCTGGGTGCCTAGGCTGAGTACAACTGTCTGTGATCCAATGAGATTTGCGCAATATTTGATTACGGTTAGAGATAAAGAGATTGATATCATATAGGAAGATTCTACATCGACTCTACAAGCTCAAATGAGTGATCAATAAAAGAATTTCAATTAAAACAAACTTAATTTTTTCTGTTTTAAATCTGTCATAGAATTAAATTGAACATATTTCTCTAAGATATTATACATTTATGAAGTTTATTATTATTCCCCCCACATATTGAATTATTGGTTGAAGTAGTAGAAACCAACAGCTAGTAATAAAATAACCAAAGCCAATAATGGGAAGTTGATAGTACCATCTTGTTTATCACCACCAGCAGATCTACTAGTTTGTTTAACTTCCTTAACTACAGCTCCTTTCACATCACCAAGATATAATTTCTTTAAGATTTCAGTAGCTTCATCAGAATGTCCAATATCATCGAAAGCCTCAGTACAATCTTGACCTGCTAAATCTAATATGACTTCTTCACCACCTGGATGTTCGTCTATGTATTGAGTGATATCGTATACTTTTCCATTTAATATAACCCATAAATCATCATGAGTATTATGCTTAGCTACTTCTTCGTAATCGTAGACAGCTGTTTTAGTTTCTGTGGTTTCAGACATGTTTGTATTATATGTGTATCTATATATAAGTAATACCAAAAGCTAAAGAAAAAGAAGTGATACAGAGGGAATCTGATATGAATTTCTCAACGGTTCTTAAATAAAAAAATACAACAATTAAAAAAAAAAAAAAGAAAGCCAAAAGAAATTTTTTTTTGGGTTTTTTTACGATTGCAATATGCAGGTCTATACGAAATGGTGGCAGATTTATATCTCTTGTTACTTTTTCCTTACAATAAACCAATGTCACATGACTATGAAGTCCATAATAATAGCAGCAGTATCGCTATGTCCGTCTATCTCATGTGATTGAAATACTTCTTGTAGTAATATAAGGGCGGATTTAACTTGATTTTACATAACATCCGATCAATAAAAAGGAAAGATAAACGATATTTTTTCGATTGAGGATAGTTGATTCTTAGAAGACTTGGTTTCTAGATGTTTCCTAATTAGGAAGTCTACGAGGAATACACCGACATGACCGATGCCACCATCTTGATGATGTCTATATCGTAATGAAGTTGATTCTAATATACATTAATTAAACCTTATTGAGAAATATATAATCTATAGAGAAAGAGCACCCTCTTCACGAATATTGTACATTTCCTTACAAACTAAAATCAATACCCTTTGATTTCAATTCTTGTTGTTTCTTTTGCTTTTGTTGTTCATGTTTCTTAATTAGAACCTCCCATTGTTTCTTAGACTTTGGCTTATCATGTTTATGTTTGCTGATAGTTTTCCAAGGAATGACTTTGAATTTTTTATTAGAACCTTCAAATAAATTTTCAGCAGGATTTTCAACAACTTCACATTTTAATAAATGACCAAATAATAAATAATTATTCATAGCTTCACTGGCAACTTTAGCAGTTTCATAATCATCAAATTGAATAAATCCATAATGTTTTGAATTCCCAGTCTTCTTATTTCTTGATAATTTGATATTGGTTATATTTCCAAATTGCTTGAAATATTCATTTAATTCTTTTTCTTGGAATCCTTGGGGTAATCTACCGATATATATAACACCTGTTTTGGCTTTAGATTTGGATGATTTGGATTTTGAGGTTTGCTCAGATGAAATGGTCTTGATAACTGAATGACCTGAGGTTTGTTTAGAAGGTTTTTCAGCTTGTTCTTCAATTTGTTCGTCTACTTCATCATCATCATCATCACTGGATAATCCTTGAATGTCTTCATCTCCGCTTTCTTCAGATAATGGTTCTTCTTCTGCTTCTACTTCTTCGCTGTCTTCTTCTTCCGATGAGGAGGGTAATTGTAAATCAGCTTCAATTTCTTCTACTGACTTTTCGGCAGCCTTCTTTGGAGCTGGAGCCTTTTTAGTGACTTCTTTGGTCTTACTTGATCCTTTCTTAGCCATTATGTCTATGTATGTGTATGTATATATAAATTCTATGTAGAGATGGTCACTAAATATTCCTAAATAGTAAAATTGAAATTTTTTTTGATGTGAGTGAAGAATGAGATGAGATGGAATATCAGTAAATATGGTAGCACTGGGCAAACATTCTTTATATACACTCCCATCACAATAAAGCATCTACTAGCAATTCAAATGTCTTTACAGCTGATATTCCCACTACATTAAGATAATCACCAATCATATTATCAAACAAGAGACAACCCAATTCTTGATATTTGAAACCACCGGCCACTTGTAATCCTTCTTCGCTCTCAATATAAGCATTTATAATATCTTCATTGTTTTGTTTGAATGAAAGTTCAGTTATACAATGATTAGAATATATTTTTATATCATTCTGACTGTCTATTTTAATCAATGTTATAGCAGATATTACTTTCACTTGAGGATATTGTTTGAAATAATTGAAATATTCTCTTTGTTTGGTTTTTGTCATTGGTTTCTCAAATATTTGTTCATGACAACTGATAATTGTATCGCATGTTAAGATAAGTACTTGTTCATTGGTAGCTGCAAAGTTGTTGTCATTAAGAATCGCTTTTGCTTTCTCTAGACTTGTTTGCTTAACATAATCTATATGGGTTTTATTATCAGTTGGTAAATCTTCTGGGAAATTCAGAGAGAGAATTTCAAATTGTTTAATATTTAAATTGTTCCTAAGGATCTCTCGCCTTCTAAGAGACGTTGATCCAAGAATGAATCTATATCCCTTTAACTTGTCATACACTGGATGATTGAACATATCGCTACTGGGCTTTCTACTTTAGCTTGCTGCTAGGAAGTCCACCTGGTAAGTGTTAGTCTTCTGCCTCACTATGAAGTCATAAGACAATACAGGAAATAGACATATGGAAACGCAACCACCAGAAAAAATAAATTTGGTTCAACGAAACTTTTACTTTTCAACTGACGTATTTTTAATTTCAATTTCTTCTTCTTCCATTTGAAAAGGCTTTAACGAATTGGATCTACTCAAGTGGAGAGATGAGATTACTATATAAAGACAATCCAAGGACTTTGGTTCTCTACTCAGAAACTCATAGTCTTACATTCAGAACAATCCCTAATAATAATGACCCAAAGAAACCACTTGTTCATCTTGAATTAGTACCAAACACTCACATAACTGCCAAGCAAGGTTATAAATCATTGATAAGGAAACAAGTATACGGATCATTAGGTATTATAAATATTGATAACATTAACTATCTAGCTGTAATAACAGGTGCAATTCTTAATGTTGCAAATCCAATTAGGAATGAATCGATTGATCGTATCTTTTCAGTTGAGTTTATTTCATTGGATAATAATGATTGGGATTTTGTTACTTTAGATAGTTCAGGATTTCCAATTTCTGATACTGATAGTGAAACTGGTACAGAAGATAGTTATGGTGGTTTCCCAAGAGTACCACATCCTTGCTTTGAATTACAGAAACTTTTATCAAATGGTTCATTTTATTATTCAAATGATTTCGATTTAACTTCTACCCTTCAAAATCGTGGAGTTCATTCAGGTAATACAACATCAGCAACCACTACAACTACTATCGACCATTATGAACCTTCATACATGTGGAACTCCTTCATTATGGATGAAATGATCAAATATCGTTCTAATCTAGATACAAATACTCAAAAAACCCTTGATCAAAATCGTTTCTTAACCACCGTCATTCGTGGGTTTGCCAAAACGGTTTCATTACAACATAATGCTGGTGATTGTATCACTCTTATATCTAAACAATCTTGGAAGAGAGCTGGGACAAGATATAATACTCGTGGGATAGATGATAACGGTAGTGTTGCAAATTATGTCGAAACTGAATTCATATATTATACACCTTCAAATAATGCCATATTTACATATGTACAAATTAGAGGATCAGTTCCTACATTCTGGGAACAAGATTCTAAGTTGATCAATCCGAAAATCACATTAACTAGATCATATGAGGCAACGCAACCAATTTTTAATTTGCATTTCAAACAAATTTGTGAACATTATGGAGTATGTCATATTGTTGATTTATTGTCAGGTACAAAGAGTTCTGAAGTTGCTTTATCTAGAAGATATCAGCAGTTATATTCTTCCTGTGATTGGAAAGAAGAATTGGAATATACTCTGTTTGATTTCCATCAAGAAACAAAAGCTTCCGTAGGTGGGTTTGCTAATGCTACTAAAATCATACCCAAATTACATGATTCATTACAACAATTTGGTTGGTTTAGTTATGATATTTCTGAAAGTGAAGTTGTGACTCGCCAAGATGGGATCTTTCGGGTTAATTGTTTAGATTGTCTTGATAGGACAAATTTGATTGAACAAGTGTTATCAAGATATATCTTGGAAAACATTCTCAATAATCAATCACCAAGTTTTGGAAATCATCAGAGGTCTGCTATGAATATTGAATCGATCTTGAATAAGCATAATTCATTGTGGGCTGATAATGGGGATGCTATTTCTCAGATATATACTGGTACTAATGCACTTAAATCATCATTTTCTCGTTCTGGGAAAATGAATATAGCAGGAGCATTATCCGACGTGACTAAATCGGTTTCAAGAATGTATCAAAACACATTTGTTGATTCGAAAAAACAATCCACAATAGATATGTTATTAGGTGTTGACTCCAAGATACTTAAAGTAAGAATCTATGATCCCGTGAATGAATATATCACAGAGAAATTGATCCAAGAGGCCGAGAAATTCACCAAACATGACAAAGTCACCGTTTTTACCACAACATTCAATGTTCACGCAATGGAACCTTCCGAATCTATAGACTTATCCCTATGGTTATTCCCCCAAGAGAATGGACAACTCAAGCCGGATATAATTGCTATTGGACTTCAGGAACTTATAGACCTTAACCCAGGATCAATCTTAACTGCAGATGCATCCTCCCAAGCCCAAAAATGGGCTGCTTGTTTAACTCAACACCTTAATAACAACAACAATTCAGAATCTGATCAATATCTCCTCCTTAGGACAGAATCTATGACTTCAATGGCATTGTTCTTATATATCAAGAAATCCCATATAAATTCAATTTCCCAAATCACGGGATCATCAAAAAAGACAGGTATGGGAGGTATGACTGCTAATAAAGGTGCATGTGCCGTTAGGTTCAATTATGGAAATAGTTCATTTGTATTAATAACCAGTCATTTAGCTGCTGGAGTGAGTGCGACATTGGAACGATATAATGATTATATGAGTGTGGTTTCTGGTTTGAAATTTCTGAGAAATATGCAGATTTTTGATCATGATTATGTGGTATGGTTTGGAGATTTGAATTATCGTATTGAAATTGAGAATGGGGTTTGTCGGTCGATGATTGAACAGCAGGGAAGGGAAGGGTTGAGGGAGTTGTATGAGAATCTGGATCAGTTGGTTAGGGAAATGAGAAAGAATGATGCTGTTGGTGCGTTTGGGGTTTTTAAAGAAGGAGAAGTGGGTTTCTTGCCAACGTATAAATTCGATACGGGGACTAATGAATATGATAGTAGTGAGAAACAAAGAGTTCCATCGTGGACCGATAGAATTTTGTATGTTGAGCCATTCAAGAAGCGAAATAAGAATGGGATTAAACAATTGAATTATAATTCGGTTATGGATGTGATGGTTAGTGATCATAAACCGGTATATTCAACCTTTGAATGTTTAGTTAAATTTATTGATCGTACTAAGAAGTCTACTATCAGGAAATCTTTATATGACCTTTATAAACAACAGCATGGAAGTACATATGATTTACTTAGTTTGAACGATGATGTCTCCTCGATAACCAGTGCTGCATCATCCAGAGCCAGTAGTTTCCCACCAGCACCAGAAGAGAATTTTGCTATAGATACAATGAGTGATTTGAATTTATTAGACGATTATGATCCAACCAACCCGCCTCCAAAACTTCCAAGCAGGCCTACTGTTGGGTCAGCACCTAAAAGAGTCCCACCACCTCCATTGAGTAGAAAGGTATTGGTTCCTATCAATAAACAACAACAACCATCATCACCAGCAAGAAAACTTCCACCACCTCCAAGTTCATATTCGCAACTACAAGTACCGGAAAGGCCACTACCACCAGCATCACGGAAAGTCTCTTCTCCTTCGCCCGCACCTGTAACTGCACCATCATCAGCGCAACCATTACATAGTCCACCAATTGGGTTTTCGTCAGCACCACTCGTTCCTATGAAATCAAATTCTTCAGGTCCAAGTGCGAATGGATTGCTGCCTAAAATTTCTCCAGTGTTGCCAGTATCTGCGGGAAGCATACAAAGAAGAGAGTCGGCTTCGTCGTTATCAGCACTGCTGTCTCCAAAGGTGTTTAAACCATTGGTTCCTACCAAACCCAAGTCATTGACTTCAATTAAGCTGAAAGAATCGAAGAGTGAGGAAGATGATGATAAAGAAGATATGAAATCCGTTAGCTCTGAACCTGCTCGTTCTGTTGCTGCTCCTGTTCCGCCTCCACCCAGAACTAGCACGATGAAGAGTATGTCTGATTGGAAACCTTTAGTACCTAAATAGGTAATAGTCATTCTGTAGTATGTTATCGTAAGAAACAATTAATAATTTGTACAAAGATACACGACCTTTTCTGCATTTTGCTCTCAGGTTTAAAATTTTCGTTCTCTAATTTTGACAACCATCCCCAAGCAAAGGTAAACAAACGAAGGAAGAAGATAAACGAAAGCAAAGAAAGATGAGTTCACGTAGAATCAAACATATATCAATTTCAGTTCCAGTGCTATATGGAAACCATGCTTATAAATTAACTCCAGAAACCCGAAAACCAACAACTCCCCCTGATCATACTCATATATGGACAGTATTCTTCAAACCAGTGATTGGTGATATTGATCTTACTCCAATACTTAAGAAAGTGACATTTAAATTACATGAAACGTATGAGAATCCGGTCCGCTCTATAGAAACACCGCCATATCAAGTCACTGAGACTGGATGGGGTGAATTTGAGATTATTATTAAATTACATTTCAATTCTGATTTAGGAATTAATGAAAAGAATTTTCAAATTTTCCATGCATTGAAATTACATCCGTATAATCCATTAGTACCTATTCGTGAGAATGGGGAGGTTCATTCTGTATTGTATGATGAGTTGATATTTAATGAGCCTACTGAACGCTTATTTGAGATTTTGACTCAAAAACCAGTGAATTTGTTGAGTTATAAGTTGACAAATCCTAATAAGAGAGATCAAGAATATATTAGACCTGATGAGATCGATGAGTTGGCGAGATTGGATGTATATATAAATAAAGTAAAGGAAGAAATTGAGAGACAGACGAATCAATATAAGGATTTAGAACAAGAAAAATTGGCATTATTACAATAGTATAGTATACATGTATGGACTAATCCTAACTGAGCAAGTCTATTTAATGATATTCTAAATAATTATTTATGAAAACTTGTAATTCATTCAATTCAATTCCAAAATTTAGATGACTTGAAATTCCACTTTTATTTTTATTGGTCGAAATACTTCTCAAGAATCGATTTTGATGATTTATGATTATTGGAATCTTGCAATTGATTTTATTGTCACTTATTATATATAAATAATCCAAGGGATATAACCCACCACCTATTGGATCCATTATGTGAAAATATTGAGACAATGAAATGCACTGTGCGTTGGTACACTGTGATATATTACCGGATATGAATGCAGTTGAAATATTTTCTGGAAATAAGGATTGTATAAACGGTATATGTTCTTTACCTTGTACACCCAAGAAGAATATGAATGTGAATTTGGATGGTGAATTATTGTCAAATAGATCAATTTTGATATCTTCTAATTGTTGTAATGTCGGTATGGGAATAACAGCTGCTTGGTCGTTGGGAATATATCTTGGTGGATATGTATTAGATATAGAAGATGAACGTGAGGGTGAAGGTGACATGGGCGCAGAAGTAGTGCTATCTACAAGTTGTCGTTTGGCTTGTTGCGGTTGTTGTTGATTCCCACTAGGTAGATCATTATATAAGGGATGTTGTAATGAATATTCATGTAGTTGATTATTATTTCTTTTCATAGTGTAGTGTATTGTGTATATGTACTGTTAGAAACATATCTCCCCTAAGAATCTAGCGAATGGTAATGTCTTTATAAACAATCAAAAATTATTCGATATGTGGAGAAAGGAAAGAAAATTTCAAGAAGTGGAAAAATTAAAATTTTTTCCTCCAATTGTTTATTTTATTTTACCCCTCTCACTCCACTCTTCTTTTGAGTTTCGGGGTACCCGAGATATAACCAGGTAAGAACTAGGACAAAGGAACCATTTAGTAATAATTGCTTGAGGCACTCATCTACTTAATACTAAAAAAATAAGTCTAAGGTGAAAAAGGTAAGGATTGAGATTTGTGTATTTCCATGTGAGATTGGATCTGGCCCGTTCCCCCGAACTATCAATTGTTCCAATGAGGCTCTTTGTCAAATTCATAGGGAATTTCCTTTACTAGGAAGTCTTTGTCCAATCACCCAACTCGTTCCCTCAATACGCATTCTACTATAATCATCCGGATACCTGTAAAATATTTGTTTTGTACGAGACCTAGAGTTCTTTGCTTGTCATTGTGAGTCAAAGCCAGATGCGAAAATTAGAATATCATCCATATATGCAAAAGAATACCCTTTAGGTCATGTCTCTGAAAATACTGCTGATGAATTATCAGTTCCAACGGGCAATGTAATATTTAAAAGTCGGCACTTCAATTACCGATGAGTTGTGCTACATTTTCTGAAGGGAAAGCGATTAAAAGCTTTATAGAGGAGAAGAAACGATTTTTCATTTGGAAGTCACAACTTGATGTCGGTACCGTTTAGAACTGTTTGTCACCAGTTGTATTTTGAGATTGATCAAAGAATTTGTGTTTACGTATATGGATTATATCCTAATTATTGCAGCTAGCTTTGACTCGTATAAAGAATCGATAAACAAAGTCGGCAAATTATGGTCTTCAAATGAACATTGAAGAGACTCAATATCATGAACCCAAGGAAATATCCTAGGCTATGTCTTATAATACAACAAATTTTCACCAGCCACGAGCAGGTTGGATGTTACTAGAGAAGATTCAAACATGACCACTGAAATATTATGGTGCCCTCTTTCTACAAGGGTCACTACAAATATCTCACGCGAAAGGACCACTCTCCTATCTAATCTGAATTCTGTTCAGAAGAAAGCCAAACAGTCAAAAATCTATTGAAGCTGAATCTTAATATGAGAATATTTTCTATCTGCCGGGTACGTGTATTCAAACTGATCCAAGGCTTATGGGTACATGGATTTGACATGAAGCACCACCCATCTAATTATCTGAACTACGGGAGAAGAAAGGAGTTAGGTTATTTCAAAAAAGAGAACTTCAAACTTCTAAAATTCCATCAGAAATTTGTTCCAAAGTATGATTAAAAACAATGGATCATTTGGTGAAACGACCAATGCCAAGCCGAATTTAGCAAGATGGTCAAAAGGCAATATCCCTATTTTTTGACTTGTTGTGATTAAATACTCACAACAAGTTAAGAAATAGGGAATATCATGAAGACATTCGACTCCACACGTTACTCGTTTTTTATGATTTCCTGCATTTAAAGAAAGTCTCGAGAGGTTGTCCTGCTATGATGCCAACTTGTGGCAATTTGCCATTGCCAATTAAATCTAGAAACCCTGGTTGACCTTAACCACATCAAGTAGATTTGTTCTCGCTGGGTCCCAATGTTGGTTTCGGAAATCACCATTTGGGAAATCTTGTCTTCCGTGAAATCTGCCACAGGAACGAGAATAAATCAAACCTGTCATATTATCACAAAAGTGATTTATGATGGAATCTTAATGCCTTTAATCCTATTCTCTCATCCATATTGCGGCACCTGACAAATATCATGTGAAAGTCACGTGTTATCAGGTGACTCGGAAAATTTCCGAAATCCCAAACTATAAGAGTCCAATGATAATCCTATACAACTTGAAGGCTAGGGTCCAATGATGACCTAATCTAAAACAAGTATAATTATTGATTAAACTATCTATAAACTATGTACAAGATAAATTACTTTTCTTAAAAATCTTTTCTCACGATGCGTGCGCATCGACCCTGGGCGGGTAACCAATCCGTAAGAATCCAAGTTGGATGCAGGATGCCGGATTCTTACACTCTCCCCCACCTATCTAGAACCTCCTCTCTTCACGTTTGAATTGGGTTTAAATCTTCCTCTAAATCCTGGTACTGCAGTTGGACCACGAACTATTTGGTTGTATTGAATAACGTCTTGAATTTCCTGGGGAAAGGACGGTGGAGAGTCATTCTGTAATACAGGGACGGGATCATTTTCTAATGTAGGTTGAGTCCCGTAAGTAGCTTTGTAATCTGCAAGAAGTTTCTTCTTTCTGTTTGGATCTCCATCTAACCAGCCTAACTTAATTCTAATTGTGTCTTCGATATCGCAATCTTCCCATGTAGCTTCAGCTGTGCCATCGGTGTATATCCTAATAATACTACTAACCTTCGAAATATTGTCTCTAATATCTTTACTCTCTATCGGTGGTACTTCAACATAATCTTTTACTCTTGGGTTAAACTTCTTCAAATAACGCACATTGATCGTTCTATGAATTCTGGAATTCTGGGGCAACAGGAGCATATAACTGTTGTCATTAACTTTGTTTACTACTTTAAATGGGCCGACATAACGGTAGTGGAACTTTCGGCCCGCGTCCCCCCCTCTATAAACGTCCCGGTGTAACAAGACGAGATCCCCTTCTTCAAAGTTGGTGGTGGAACGGTGACGGTTTACAATGGCTGCTTGCTGTTGTTGCGCATGAAACATATCTTCTTGGATCTTTCTAAGGACTTGTTGTTGTTTATCTGCAAAGTCTTCTCCAAGGACAACACTATCATTCGTTTCTGTAATATCTAAGGGTGCGATAATGCCTGTGTAACGAGGGTGACGACCAAGGTCCGCATAGAATGGGCTACAATCAATGGATGAGTGGTAGGAGTTGTTATAAGCAAATTCGGCTACAGGAAGGTATTTATCCCAGTCATCAGCATGATCCTTGCATAAGGCCTGAAGCAACTGTGTAAGAGTTCTGTTGGTTCTCTCGGTCTGACCATCGGTTTGTGGATTATGGGAAGTGGACATCTGTAAAGATACATTAAACCGTTTATTGATAGCAGTCCAAATAGCATTGTTGAAACGAACATCTCGATCGGAAACAATAGATTTGGGAACACCGTGATATTTAATAACATGTGCCATTAACAATTCAGCAACATCGATAGCTGTAACAGTTTTAACCGTTGGTATAAAGTGGGAACGTTTGGTAAGTCTATCGACCACGACCATGATCATGTTGAACCCTGTGGATGTAGTTTGGAATCCTGTAAGGAAATCGATAGAAATCAGCAGCCAACGCTGGTCTGGAACTGGCAATGATTGGAGGGTTCCACTTGTCTTTACTGTCGAGGATTTAGATTGTTGACACACGGTACATTTATTGGTATAACGTTTGCATTGCTTCAGCATTCGGGGCCAGTAATAGTAGCGACTCAAAAATTCATGCATCTTTAAAGCACCTTGATGAGCACAAGCATCGGCGTCATGGGCATGGAACATTAACTGGTTACGAACAGTCCCTGCCGGAATACATAATCTTGTGCGTTCAGCTGGTAATAATCCAAAATATAACAAGTCATTCACTAGCACATAATGTTTAAGTTGGTCTTTGATTTCGTGTGTCGGTTCAATTTCGCCAAGCATAGTGGCATAGATAGTAGCAAAATGTTCGTCTTTTCTATATTCTTTCTTAATTTCGTCGGGGTAAGTTTCATCTAGTTCTTGAATTGTCATGGCATTAACCTCTACTCTGCTAAGAGCGTCAGCCACGACGTTCTTCTCACCTTTAATGTACTGGATATCGTAATCAAACTCGTCAATTAAATCGATCCACCTACTGATTCTTCCATACGTGTCTTTTGTATATTTAAGTGATTGGAGCGATTGGTGATCTGTATAAAGGAGGAAACGACGACCCAAAAGGTAATGGCGCCATTTCTTGAGTGCTTTGACCACTCCAAGACACTCTTTTTCTCTGACAGTGTACTTTAATTCATGTTCATTCATCTTATAACTCTCATAAGCTACAACTCCGAGGCATTTCCCTTTTTCGTCAACTTGTTGTAAAACTGCCCCCGTACTATGATTCGATGCATCTGTGAATAATGCAAATGTTTTCGTCGGATCAGGTAAAATTAAAATAGGTTCTTCTGTAAGCTTATTCTTCAAATATTGGAAATTAGATTCTTGGGCTTCTGTCCACCCGACACGTCCAGCTATATAATCATGGATTGGAGCAGCATATTTCGAAAAGTTTTGGATAAAACGTCTGTAATAACCAACTAACCCTAAAAATGATTGAGCATGCTTGATAGTCTTAATTCGTGGCCATTCTTTAATAGCTGAGACTTTTGCTGGGTCTGGGGTGATTCCTTCTTCGGAGATATAGTGTCCAAGATAGTTAACCTTTTCCTGGAAAAAATGACATTTCTTCTTCTTAGCTACAAGCCCATTTTCTTTAAGTGTATTGAGTACCAAACGGATGTGTTCTTCATGTTCCTTTCTGTTCTTCGAATAGATAATGATATCATCGAGGTAAATAGCAACGAATTTATCAAAGTATGGTTGAAATATTCTATTCATCATTTGCTGGAATGTAGCTGGAGCGTTAGTTAACCCAAATGGCATTACACGCCAAGCAAATTGTCCACGGTTGGTAACAAAAGCAGTTTTGTGTATATCTTCATCTGCAATACGTATCTGGTAATATCCAGAATGTAAATCTAACGTTGAAAAGATCTTGGCACCAGCTAAGCAGTCAAAGAGTTCTTCTATAAGTGGAATTGGAAAACGTGCCTTGATTGTGATGTCATTTAATGCTCTGTAATCCACACACAAACGTCTACTACCATCTTTCTTTTTAACAAAAAGTACTGGAGCACCAAAGGGTGATGCAGACGGAACAATATAACCTTTTTCTAATAATTCTAAAATAACTTTTTCTAACTCAGCTCTTTCGGCATACGACAAACGATATGGAGCTTTATGGGGTGGAGCATTTCCTGGAATTAAGGTAATTGTGTGTTGAACGTTTTTCGACGGTGGAAGCCCGGGAGGAAGTTCGTCAGCTACAACACTGCCAAATTCATCCTGCACGAACTGTGGTATCTGTTTTGAGTCGGTTGTCTCCACATTCAATTCTTCTAATCTAACTAATATTAACGCGGTTTCTGCTTCTGGTTTCTTCGCTGCTCTGGATATGCTCACGCTATTCACTAACAATTTCTCCATTGCTTGCAATTTCTTGGTTTTGTCTCGTTTCATCTTCTTGTTCATGAACTGCTTCTTTTCTGTTCTCTCTGTGAGTTCTTTGTTTGATTCGTCTTCTTCAGTTGGTTCTTCGTCAGTAATTGGTTCTTCATCTTCAGTTGGTTCTTCATCTTCACTTGATTTTTCTTCTTCGATTGGTTCTTCCTCAGTAGTTGGTTCTTCACCTTCAATTGGTTCATCCTCATTTGGTTCTTCCTCACTTGGTTCTTCCTCGCTTGGTTCTTTCTCATTAATTGGTTCTTTCTCATTAATTGGTTCTTTCTCATTAACTGGTTCTTTCTCATTAATTGGTTCTTTCTCTCTAATTGGTTCTTCTGCCTTTCTCTTTGCAATTGTAAGTTCTTCACGTAATAAATCAATCATGCACCCATTAATCGTTCTTCTCTTAAAATCAATATAGTCTTGGTTCTCTGCCACAAAGTTATAACCTAGATATATGTCACTTCTCAAACCTTCAACCACGAATAATAAACGTGATAACTTCATTCCACATAATTCAAAGTCTAACTTAACATATCCTCGGATGGGTGATTCTGCTTCTCCTCTTTTTGCGGTATTGGCGACAAATCCTGTAACAGGTACTATTTCTAATTCTAACTTTTGTACGATATTCACATCTATGAAATCACTTTGAGCTCCACTATCGATAAGTACTTCTAATAGTTCATTCTCAATCAAACAAGGGGCAATCAAGGTTTTGTCAATTTTTGGTCTTTCGGTTTCCACTACGGTTCTCATTTCATTTATAGCTACCAGAAGTGCTTCTGTAAGGAAATTTTGTTTAGCATTGTGTCTATTTCTACTCTTCTGAATTTGATATCCACTACGCTCATCTTTATCAACTTGGCTGTAACGGTACCTTTGGTTATCGTAATTAATTGCCGAGTTGATCGTCTGGTATAAATTTTCTTCCGGGCGATCAAACATGAATAATCTGGTTTCGGTTCGTAAACCGGAAATAAAGAACGAGGCACGACATCTATCTGAAATGCTTTCATGAAGGGATGCACAGTTTCTAAGAAATTCACTTGCATAGGTGTGTACTGACTGTCCTCTTCTTTGGAAACAACTTCTAAGGGCATATATGGAGGCATTGTAGTTTGCTGCTGCCATAAAGTTCCTTTCGAACTCCTTCAAGAAATTTTCTAAAGTCATCAGCTGGAGGTTTGGTAATCTTAATGCCCAAATACGAGCGGAACCGCTCAACCAACTGACAGCAAGTGTAACCTTCAATTCTTCTTCTTCCACTGGGGTGGCCTTAAAAAAAAGTAATACTGATGTACTCCACTCTTGAGCCAACAGCGTTCTTTCTGGTTCCATCATATCTCCGGAGTAGGCGGCAGGTTGGGGCATCTCAAGCTCACTTTTGATTGGTGTTGTAGCTAAACCTGGTATGGTTGATTTTAAAAAGCTATCGGTCGTAAATGACTTGAGGCTTTCAATAGGAATCCCCATCTCCCATAAGAGGTCTCTCAAAATTGTCTTTTTCTGCAAGAGATTCAATCCCCTTAGTGTAGCTAAAGGACCTTCGTCCAGTTGTTGCGTTTGAATGTTTTCGTGGGCGTCCTGAAATTCGTCGGTCTGATCGTACTCTTCCATCTTCAACTTCTGTTCTATCTCGGATCAACAAATAAGTTTTAGCGCGGCGCTACCACGTATAAGAGTCCAATGATAATCCTATACAACTTGAAGGCTAGGGTCCAATGATGACCTAATCTAAAACAAGTATAATTATTGATTAAACTATCTATAAACTATGTACAAGATAAATTACTTTTCTTAAAAATCTTTTCTCACGATGCGTGCGCATCGACCCTGGGCGGGTAACCAATCCGTAAGAATCCAAGTTGGATGCAGGATGCCGGATTCTTACATTTGAAAAAAAATCGGGCGTGTGGTCTAGTGGTATGATTCTCGCTTTGGGCGACGACTTGGAAACAAGTTGATTAACTACAAGCATGCGAGAGGCCCTGGGTTCAATTCCCAGCTCGCCCCTTTCTTTTTAATTTTTGAAATCTCTTTGATTTTTGTAACCTATTCTATTAAAAATTTAATGAAAAACAAGACGCGTTTTATATGAAAATTGATTGAATTGAAATTTCTTAGTTTAAAAGTTTAATTAAAATAAAAAGAAAAGTGTGAGGGTCATATTTTTTTTTTGTCTCTCTATCTCTCTTCATTCCGGAGAATGGGGGAATTGATACCTATATCTAAAGATGCTGCAAATTATATCTGACAATAAAATATGATACGATACTAGCACACACAATTAGGAGGGGGAGTCCCCCAATTCATTATTTCAAAGAGGAGTAAACTATGCGTATTGTTCTATTAATAAGAAGTTTCAACTTTCTATTTGTTTGCGCCTTTCATTTTTCTGATTTGTGGTTTGTTTGTTATTTTTGACAGTTCAGTCGTGTAACAGCAAAACTACTCACAAAAAATGGATTCCCCTTTTAAATTAAATTAATTAAAACATTTTTTTTTTTTAACAACCAAAAAGATCTTTTCAATTCTTGTCTCTAAATTTTTGTCTTTCTTTAATATCTTAATTTTTATAAAAGACATTTAATTAAGAAATCAATTCATATTAATACATAAGATCCAATAAAGTGCGCTTTTATTGTGAATGTGTGAAAGAAAGAAAGAGAAAGAGTGTTTGTGTCTATATCAGTTTACTCATTCATTATTACATTTAATTTGAAGATCTGCTCCGTTTTAATACAGAATCTATTATTGATATCGTTGCTCCTTCTGCCCCCTTTTTAGTCATCAAATCAAATCAAAACCAACAAAGCCAAAAAGCATTTATTTATTTTGATATACTAAAAAAACAAAAGCAAAAATGACTCAACCAGATCCAATCAATATTTTGTTATTATTAGTCTTCCTTTCAATAGNCAAAAATGACTCAACCAGATCCAATCAATATTTTGTTATTATTAGTCTTCCTTTCAATAGGAGTATTTTTCATATTATTCTTTTGTGCATATCGATTGTTTTTTAACAATTCTGAAAGGAATGATTATACTTTAATTGGATCTGATTTCATGGGTTCTAGTTCAAATGATGTCCCACGAGAATTCCTTAATGATGAAGAATCTTTAACTCATCTTGCTGAAACTTACGATTTCACTCATTTATCACCAGAAGAACAATCAGCATATTTAAAAGCGGAAGAATTTACTAAAAATCATCCACCTGATTTTCATAAAGTTAGAGGGAAAACTTTTACAACTGAAGATGAAAAATTAATTAAAGATTGTGGAATTAATGCTTTTCAATTTGATTGGGAAGAAGATTTATTAAATCCTCGTTATATTGTTGCTGATAGAACTGAATTAAATTTTCATAATAATAATACTCCTTATTCAACGGTAACTGCAATTTTAAATTATCCTTTACCAGTTAAAAATAGACTTTATTCAGATACAATTTATTTTGAAACTAAAATTTTTGAATTTAATAATAATAATAATCCAAATGCTCATTTTTCAATTGGTTTAGTTACAAAACCTTATCCAAATTCATTTAGATTACCTGGTTATAATAAATTCTCAATTGGTTATGAAAGTACTGGTAATTTGAAAATCAATAAACCATTCCCAACCCCATTACAACAACATCAGGGGGAACAAAGTGAATATAATGCCCTTGTGTTACCTCCATTACAACAATCAGATATTGTTGGGTTTGGTTATGTTATTACCACTGGTACCATATTCATCACCAGAAATGGTAAAAAGATTTTAGATGTCATGAAAGGTTGTTTTGTCGATTTATATCCTGCAGTTGGATGTTTCCTGACTAATGCAAAATTTCAAGTTAATTTAGGACAATTGGGATTTGTTTGGATTGAAGCAAATGTTAGAAAATATGGATTTGTATCTACTAGTGATTATAAGAAAATTGGTGGAGATCGTGGATTAGCTGCTTTACCTCAATATGATCAAGCAATTGAAGATGGTGACAAGGTTTTAGATAAAGGTGAAGAATTACCTCCAAGATATCCCGAAGAAGAATTGGATTTCTTTGGTAGATCATCAAAGGATATTGTTAGATTAGGATCTTCCTCCAAGCATGCAGCACAATTGAATGAAAAACCAGAAGGTGATATTCCTGATTATGAAATTGAAGATGAAGTTAAAGAAGTTCCACAAGAAGGTAGTTCTACAAAAGTTACTAATGAACCAGAAGAAATTATGGATTTAAGAGAAAGAATATATGAACAACATATTCAAAATGAAATTTCTGAAGAAAGCCTTCCCTTATTGGCTGTTGATCTGAATGGATCGGCAAATTATGAAAGTACTGAATATTCAAAACAAAGGAAATCAGATTCAGAAAACCCACCAGCCAGTTCTTCTACAGGAAAGACTAGTCATAAATATACCGAATCCCTGTCAGCTCAACCTCAACCCCAACAACAACAACCAGAACCAACCTCCCAACCCCAGGACCAACCAATACAACGGGAAGTATCTACACCAATCCAGCCACAAGCAGAACCAACGGTACCAATAACCCCTGATACCCCTACTCAAGAAACTACACAACTGCCAGAAGTTCAGGCAAACGCAGAAGCAGACGTAGAAGAAGAAGAATCAACTCCTCAACCACCATCAGATGGATCAGCACCAGCATCTGCAAACGCCACACCTTCAAAATCTACCAAACCAAAAAAGAAGAAAAAGAAGGCAAACAAGAAAAAAGGTAAGAAGAAGTAAATTTGATACCAAATCGAATAAACCCATACAAATTAGATAGTAGAGAGTAATCTTTAATTTCTCTTATATTGTTTTTTCTCATAAATAGTCATATACTTTTAGGATTGTTTTAAAATTCAATGAATGAAATTATTACAATAATTCTTCCTTTAATTTTTGTTTCTCTGATAATTTCGTTTATTCTAGTTCTTATACATAATAACATACAGAAATAGAATAAACAAATATACAAATAGAGGAACAAGAGAATGCATCAGCAGATGATTCGAAAACCCTCATATAAGCAGCATAAACCAGTAGGTATATAAGGAAGGGATTTCAGATACATAAAACGTCACCCAATTTTGAAGTGGGAAGGTCCACCTCACGTCCAGTTGTGATGTAATCCACTGCTGACGTATTTACCAAAGCACTCCAAACGGGTAAATACGCGTGGTTAGCTAAGTACCTCAGGGGTTATATCACACCATTATGCAACGACATCAAGGTAACGATTAAGCGCATATAATTGATAAGGGGATAAACCCGCATTGCGAAGTTGCGAAGTTTCGTGCGGAAATTAACGTCAAATTTAGAATGTCGTTGAAAAACGGAAACGGGAATTCCAACAGCGTCCTAAAAGGGAACGCCCACAAAACTCACAAACTTTATCGGAATGATCAGTACCATGACCCAAATTGACGCGGTGGAGTATATAAAACCCGTCAGGATACCGATGTTTAGCTTTGTTTTATTAGTTGAACTGTAAATGAATGGCTGCAAAAAAAAAAATTGAGCAATAGCGCCGCTCGGTTTCGATCCGAGGACATCAGGGTTATGAGCCCTGCGCGCTTCCACTGCGCCACGGCGCTCGAATTTTTTGAGTTTTAATTTTTTCGCCTGATCACGTGATCAAAACCGTCACTACCCGGCTCCCTTTTGGCTGGGGATTTTGATTGAATCTATGGATCACCAACTCATTAGCATCTATTCTATGAAGCAACTATCAACTACCAACGTTCAAAATAATTTTTCAGATGAAGCGACACATCGGAAGTTACACACATTCCATACAAAATATAAAACCCCAAAGATTTAAATACTGATGATTTGAAGTATCTTGGAATTCAGATGAAATCTTTTACGTGGAAGGAGTATACTAGTCTGTTAATCGCTGGGTTGTGGAGTCAGGAATTAATGGAGTTACCAATTCATTTACGTGCTGCCGGTTTTAATACCTATATTTTTTCAAAATTATATTTTAGAGATCTTCATCAGGCGATGACTAAGTCGGATGTCAAATACTTAACTTCTAAAATCAAACTGCTGTTTTTCAAAGGCATTGGAGAGGATATTGTAACATAACTAAATGTGCAAGGGGATTTTGGCCTCCTCAATTTGGGCAAGCAGCTTTCGGGTCGACGTGCTCAATATGTTTGGCATACCCTCACGAATGATACTGATTGGCATTTTAACATCTTTAGGTATAAGCTCCAGGAATCTGTGAATAAGATGGCAGACTCATACCAAGCTTGTACGGACTATATTCTTGCAATTCCTTGGTACAAGTTCCTCACTGGCTTGACTCTTAATTATCAGGGTAAGGATATTTCTACCATGGTTGATGAAAGTGATATTTTTACGAACACCGAGAAGGTGTATTTGGAAGCATGGTTTGATTTAATTGGCTCATTTCGCAAAACATATACGGCACAACCGAGTCATTTTTCACATGATGAATATTGGGACTTCTTCGGGTCACCCCCTTCTACTATTCTCCCTCAGCTATTTGATGATTTACCAGCGGATTTTTTCAACAGTCGTTCCAAGAAATTTAATATGGAGGATAAACTGTTGAGCGAACCCTTCACTGTTAAAGATTTAGATGAACTAATAGCAGAAGACCCAACGGTCTATGGTGATGTTTTCCACTTTCCCGATGCCGCAGAAAGGTTTCCAATAATCAAAACAGCTCATGCAGATTTTCTTAATACTATGGATAACATCGAAGAATATTTTGGACTTTGACCCAGCAGTTCCATCAACAATTTATTCATTAAAGAATGCAATATTGGAAATTTGTATTCCAACATAATGTCATCACTGGGAGTTAGTCGAATCTTTATGATTTGGATCCTGACAGTTGGGTTAAAATTTTGGCAAAAGGAAAACGCTGCTATCCAGATGGTATGGATGCAGTTCACCGTCTCAACATTGTACCCATCATTCTGAGCGCGAGTGTGAATTTTGTGGCCGCTATGTCTGGGTTAGCACGACACCTACCATGCTTATACGATATGTCTGGTTAGGAAGCTTATGATAATCTTTGCGAAGGAAACCACGTGATTTCATATTTGGACTGTCATCTTCAAAGAATTTTATTTCCGTATTCCCCATGTCATCAACCAAGTAGATGAAGACAAATTGAAGGGAAATGGGATGAGCGTAAAATTTTATTAATCCATATATTGCAATTGGAAGGAACAATGGTACAGATTTTACGAAT